AATCTGGTTCATTAAGAGAAAAACAGCACACTTACATTTTAATTTCCACTGCAATTTAGATTCAGAAGTTGGTAAAGTTTTAGCTAGGTACTTTTGCTAAACATACAATCTAATTTCTGCCCTAATAAATCTGGCATGACTATACATAGTCATGGAAGCAGAAATGATACAGGTCACAAATCACCAACTGTTATATCCGTGTAAAGCAAGACTTATACAACTTTTGTATCCACAGAGAAATCACCGTACAAAAGTAATTTTCACAGTGATCATTATTAAAGCTTATATCAGAGCTTCTAAAAACAGCATAGTCTGGTCTAATTTGAATTTTTCTTCTTTTTTCACTTAAGCTCTGAGGAAGGTGCTAATGAGCTTTACTTCCACTAATGGCCAAAGACCATACAATGATAGAAAAGCAAAGGACCTATAGAATTTATTTTGTACAGAGGAATACCTGAATCAAAAGTGAACTAATTCACTGCAGCCACTGAATATACATTATCGAGACAATATTGGAACCACAAAACTGAGAGTACCATGACTGTGAAAGAAGTACCCTGTCTAAAAACTATGGGTGAAAGTATAAGTGAATCATTAAAATAGTCAAAGGAGAAAACAACAACAAAACTAGGATATCCAATGTGACTCATGTTATCTCCCCAACTGGGCGAGGCACAGAGACTCATCCAGTCAATAAATTAGCTTCTGAGCCAGGCTTGGTGGCCCTCACCTGTAATCCCAGCGGCTCAGGAGGATGAGGCAAGAGGATCACTAGTTCAAAAAGCCAGCCTCAGCAAAAGTGAGGCACTAATAAGTAACTCAGTGAGACCCTATCTCTAAATAAAATATAAAATAAATCTGGGCATGTGGCTCAGTGGTAGAGTCCCCTTGAATTCAATCCCTAGTACAAAAAAAAAAAAAAAAAAGCTAGGTTCTATCAAGATTAATGACAGGCAGGTAAATGCAATAGCAATCAGTCACAGTCCTATCTAGCCTAGTGAGACTTTGGTATAAGGTAAGACTACATACAGGGCATCCCCAACCCCATGGTATGAACTGAACTACTGAACTGATACATACAGATCTCAGGCTCTATAATCTTGCCTTAGCGGGACCCAGTATTATCTTGCCAAATAGGATTACATATTTAAATATGACCATTTTCCTTTACCTTGGGGACAGGAATTTAAAAGTATCTATACACACGTCTGAGTATTTCATATAAACATCTCTAAAGTCTATATATACATTCTAAATATTAATCATATAAATTAATTTTATAAAATATATGATTAATATTTATTTTTGTCACATTTCTTTTTGTCAAAAAGATATTTATTTTTTTTACCATGACATATATAACATTAAAAATTATGTTAGAACCACTGAGACAAATTTCAGGCAAAATGTTAAAATAAACTCATTAATACTAATGCACTAGGCAAGAAAATTCATGGGAGAATGTTTCCTTTTATGTAGGAGAAATAGACTATCACTTAATCTTCACAGAAAGGCCAGAAGCCCTGAAAATGCCTTTATTCAATATAGCATATTGCAGATACTGAAGTCCTGCTCATAATGAAGCAAGAACCACAGAAAGAATTCCCAACATGCAAAAAGAATCAAGAACCATACAAAGATATACTTCTGAGTTATACTCAAACACTTGATGCTCACAAGGACTAAATGAGAAATGACATAATTCCTGCCTTGTGGTTAATGATGTTCCCCAGATTCAGTTGGCAATGACTTCAGAATTTTTATTTAGTTTATAAAAAATAAAAACTATGCTTAACTGGACAGAAACCCCTACTCAAATTTAATTTATACTTCAAAGATGTCAGATTTTTAAAGACTACCATCTAGTACATAAACTTTAAAGATTGTAAAAACCAATCTTTTTCCTTTCTTTGTTGGGTGGGGCAGCAACAAACTATAAAGAATAAAATGATGAGATAACTACTAATGATGTACTTATCATCATTAGTAGTTATCTCATCTACTATCTGCTCCTTAAAAGGCAGTATCTACTATCTGCTCTTTAAAAGGCAGTATAAGAATTGATGCCTGGGCTGGGGTTGTGGCTCAGTGGTACAGCACTTGCCTCACATGTGTGAGGCACTAAGTTTGATTCTCAGCACCATTGATTATATTAAATGAATAAAATAAAGGTCCATCAACAACTAAAAAATATAAGACTGTCACCCTTGGCAATATGAGCCAGGATACAACTGGTTCCTATCTCTGTCTTTATTCCTAAAATTACAGATGTGTGATTTTAATCAATGAAACCACCTTTGGAAGAAATGTTTCTGCAAAAGTGGGATCCATATTGTCCATAAAGAGAGTAACTCATATTTAAACTTTCTTCATCATGGACACCAGTGTCATCATCAGAATATAAGGTGTCCCAAAAGTCTTGGTACAATTTTAAGTTTTAGTAACCTCAGAGTACAGATGCTAAACACTAATTTTGACTAATTTTCTTGTTGTTGTTTGGTACTGAAGATTGAACCCAGGGACACCTAACTATTGAACCACATCCCCAGCCCTTTTTTGTATTTTATTAAGAGACAGGGTCTCGCTGAGTTGCTGAGGCTGTCTTTGAACTCGTGATCCTCCTGCCTCAGCCTACCAAGCTGCGGAAATAACAGGCATGTGCCACCAGCTAATTTGGACTTATTAATGACTAAAAGCATAATTTGAAAGTTTAGTTCATGACTTACTTAAATATTCTTTTTTTTTTTTTTTTTTTTAAAGATGGAGTCTGGCTATGTTGTCCTGGCTGGTCTCTTACTCATGGGCTCAAGCCATCCTCCTGCCTCAGCCTTTTAATTTTGGGGAGGAGGGGTACCAGAAATTGAACCCAGGAGACGTTACCACTGTGTCACATCCCTAGCCCTTTTTACTTTATTTGGAAATAGGGTCCTGCTATGTTGCTTAGGGCCTCGCTAAATGGCGAAGGCTGGCTTCAAACTGACCATCTTCCTGTCACAGCCTCCGAGTAGCTGGGATTATAGGTGTGCATCACCATGCCAGATAAGGAATAAATTTCATTATCACAGATTACTTGAGCCATCTGTTAGCACTCTAGGAGTGGTCATGAATATGGCAAATCTCTCCTGCGTAAGGCAACTGCCTTTTGTGCTCAAAAGCCAAATCTTTCCCTTTATCATCAATGACAATGTTCCCAAGGCTCTCATAGACACTCATAGTTCTACTCGTGGGTATGGAAGTACCAAAACCAGAAATTGAAGTCTCACAATAGCCACTGCCATACCTGACTAAGGGTGTGCTGCTCAAAGGAATAAATGCCTGGATGAGAAGCAAGGACCCTTGGTATAAATAACGTGCTTTCTCTTTCCTTTCTTAATGGCGTGAACCAGTTTTCTAACATTTGGCAGTCAACCTAAGATGATATCAAAATAAATATCCTCATCTTCTATTTGTGTGTGTGTGTATGTGTGCTGGGGGTTGAACCCAGAGCCTTGCACATGCTGACCCCATGCTCTGCCACTGAGCTAAAGCCCCAACCCCCTACCCTGCATGTTTTTAGTTTGGTAAAATGCTGTCATCCTAGTCACTTAGTTACTAACTGGATAAGCAAACCTATTTCTACTCATGTGCCTATATTCAAACTGACTTTACCATAAAAGTAGTATGCAGTTTGCACTAAGTATAGAGTTTCATCTGCTAGTCCTCTTGACAAGCTTTAGGCATTGCTCTTTGCAATCATCTACGTCCATGGAAAGGCACTCTGTACCAAAATTAGCACACTGAGCAATCAAGGACACAGAGATGTGGGGGGTGGGAGAGACTGTGGGGCTGAATAGCTAGAAAAATCTAAAGGCAGTATTGATCTATGAGTCTAATAAGCAATAATAATCATCTATGACTTCTTAGACCACTAGAAGTATAGGTTATCTTACACAAAACAATGAGTAAGTTGATTTGGGAAGAAATTATCAATACTTCCTCCATTGAGAGAATACCCTCTTATTTTTAAAGTGAGTGCCTTTAAAAAAAAAAAACACTCAGCCATAAAACTCAGGAAACAAGTTCTGAAAGTCATTAAGCAACTGTAGTCTTGGATACGAGTACTCAGCAAGTTGACTGAGGAATACTCAAAGATTTCCAGATAGATATTACCTGGTTACTTGGTTACTGCTGTCTCTTCCCTTCCTTTTCCCCCATATGTATTTCTGCATGTAAATTCTCAGTTCAACTTCAGATATAGGAAAAGAAGTTAACTTTCCCACAAAAACAGAAAGGCCCTAAAGTTACACAACTAAACTAAGATGATACCAGTTGTATGACTGGACCATAAGAATCAGGAAGTATTACCATAAAAAATGAAACCTTAGTTCACATTACAATGAAATACCCTGAATTTTCCAAAAACATCAATCTAAATACCACACATCATGGTATTTAGAGAATGCAATGTCTAAGAGAATGCGGGTATTCTCTGCTAAGTTGAAAGGATATAATATGAAATGCCAACATAGAAGCTCCAATCAATGTACAATACCCATGATAAGCCTGTGACTTTCTCACACCAGACAGTTGTTCACACTCTACTAAACCATTCCACCTATTGAGAGGCTGACCTAATAGGAGCTAGGAATGAAACTGAAGCTGTATCCAAAGGAAGTATTCATACCTTTCGAATGATCTGGGATATTCAAAATTATCTAAACTGTACAGAGACTCCTCTAAGGAAGCATAGACTAGAAGCTGAATATATTTTAAATTATCCCAATATACTTTCAATGTGGCTCTTTTAAAAATGAATCAAACCCTGGGGGCTGGGGCTGGGGCTCAGTGGTAGAATGCTCACCTAGCACATGCAAGGCACTGGGTTCGATCCTCAGCACCACATAAAAATAAATAAATTAAATAATAGTATTGTGTCCAACTACAACTAAAATATAAATATTTTTTTAAAAGGGATCAAACCCTAATATCCTTTTGATTTTCTTTCTTTCTTTTTTTTTTACCATGAACTGAGATCAGACAGCTGTGCAGCATCCGGAGACAGCATGTTGGTTGTGCCCTGGAAGAATCTCTTGGGCTGGCTTTCTGTTTCCATCTCACCTAAAATGGAAAGAGATAATGTGACTTTAATGCAATTTTATAAATATAAGATTAGTGGGCTGGGGTTGTAGCTCAGTGGCAGAGCGCTTGCCTAGCATGTGTGAGGCACTAGGTTTGATCCTTAGCACCACATTAAAAAAAAAAAAAAGGTATTATGTCCATCTACAAAAAAAAAAAAAAAAAATTGGTGTGAAAATCAGGTGATCTTTATTTAACCAAAGCTCAGAATGCTTCTTTGAATTATTACTTAAATTATTTCCATGTGCTTTAATATAGAAGAAATATGCTTCCACATAACCTCAAGCAAAAAGTGAACAGCCTTAGCCAGGCACGATGGCACATGCCTGTAATCCCAGGGGCTCAGGAGGCTGAGCCTGGAGGATCATGGAGTTCAAAGCCAGCCTCAGCAAAGGTGAGGCGCTAAGCAACTCAGTGAGACCCTATCTCTAAATAAAATACAAAATAGGGCTGGGGATGTGGTTCAATGGTTGAGTGCCCCTGAGTTCAATGCGCAGTACTCAAAAAAAAAAAAAAAAAAAAAAAAAAGAACAGCTTTAAAAGAATTTCTTATTCATAACATGTTATGAATATATTCATGTTCTTTAATAGAAGAAGAGAACACAGATTACATCAGGCAAAATGAACCAAAGCTAAATAATAGCTGAACTAAAGCATTACCAAACAGAAAAAAAGCTCACAATGAATAATTTATGCTAGATGGTTAGCAAAGATTATTTTTTAAACAATTTTTTACCTTTATTTTACTTATTTTTATGTGGTGCTGAGGATCAAACCCAGGGCCTCACACTTGCTAGGCAAGAATTCTACCACTGAGACACAAACCCATTCCAGCAAAGATTATTTACGTTTTAATATCTGAACATTTCCTGAGATGACAATAAATGGGTTAAAAATGTATTGTCGGTAAGTAGCGTGGAAGTAAAAGTTTGCTTTACACTATTTAATGAAAATTAAGATTTAAAAATACAAGTTTGAGGGCTGGGCTCAATAGTAGAGCACTTGCCTAGCACACATGAGGCACTGGGTTCAATCCCTAGCACCACATTGAAAAAATTAAATAAACAAAATAAAGGTATCATGTCTACCTATAACTAAAAATATTTTAAAAATACAAGTTTTAAAGTACATGTGCAATTAAAAGCAACTATTTTTCAGTTCTCAAATTTGGTATCGTAACGCTAAATTAATCCTATAGATGTTTTCAGAAGTGATAACAGTAAAACTTGGCACCAAAAGAAATAATGCTAAACATTTTGCCACCAAGTAGTAGGGTTGTCTTACAACTCTGAATCAGGCAGAAAATGCCCCTTTTCAAAAAAGGTGTGCTTTCATTTAAAACATGCACTTCTTTGAAAATGACATTTTATTTTTTTGGTACTAGGGACTGAACCCAGGGGCACTTTACCACCCAGTCCCTTTTATTTATTTTTTTTATTTTGAGGCAGAGTCTCACTAAATTGCCAAGGCTGGCCTTGAATTTGCAAGCTTCCAGAATAGCTGGGATTACAGGTGGCTAACTGCATTGCATCTGTCCCCACCTTTTCTTTCCATGGTGTGGGGGATGGAACCCAGGGCTTGGCACATATTAGGTAAGCACTCTATGACTGAGCTACATTCCCAGCCCCGGTTTGAAAATGAAATGTTATAGACATTTTAATTCATGGTGCTATCTATAAACCCAGTAGGAAATAAGCAAATTTAATAATGAACTTAAGTTTTGAACTTAAAACTGTACAAGATTTTTATGAAGAAAAACATTAAAGAAAAACAAATCGAACATTCACTTTTTCCGTATTTTCCATCAATTCATGTTATCCTTCCTCTAGAACTATTCTGAAAATTATTAAAATTCAGAAAGTTAATATTTTTATTTCTCCACCCCTCCCCCATGTTTTAACAAGTAGCTTAAAAAAAAAATGCTGGGGCTTTCAACTTCACTTTATGAGCACAAAACTTCAACCCTATTTTGCAAAGAATCCCTCCATCTGCTGGTTTATCTTGGAATAGCTACAAAACTGACAACCATAGTCATCCATTAACTTCCTGCAACAAAATTTAAGTTAATAATCATAGTTTTATTTTCAAGTATCATTTCTACTTAATTGCCTGAGAATGTTCCTAGAATTGTACATCACTCTTGTAAGATTAAAGACTGTTTATAAAACGTATTTGTTAAATATAAATATTATCACCATATAAGGATCTATTTTCTATATCACATCATCTTTAGTTTTAAGTTGTCTCAAATATAGTACTTTTTGCATCTGTGTGTGACCCTATGGCTGGAAAGATTTCACCAAACCCCAAGTATCAGTTCCCCAATATAAGTAGAATTGATTTGTTCATTGGCCATGAAGAATAATTTCCACAAAGAACTACTTAATCAATTGCTTTTTAAAATTTTGTTGTTGTAGATGGACATAATACCTTTATTTTATTTATTTATTTTTATGTGGTGCTGAAGATGGAACCCAGTGCCTCATGTATGCTAGGCAAGCACTCTACCACTGAGCCACAACCCCAGCCCTTAATCAATTGCTTTTCAAAAGCCCTTGTGAAAACTCTTCTTTAAAATGCCATCTGATATTTACAATCACATGCTCATATCCCCAGGATTAATGGATGATGCCTGTTAAATTTGCCTTTGTTTAAAAAAAGATGGGTTGGGGCTGGTGGCTGAGGCAGGAGGATCATGAGTTCAAGGTCAGCCTCAGCAACTTAGTGAGACCCTGTCTCTAAATAAAATATTAAAAAGTGCTGGGGATGTGGCTCAATGGTTAAGTGCCCCTGGGTTCCATCCCAAGTAACAAAAATTTAAAAAACAAAAAATATGCCTGCCTTCAGGTGCCTTATACATGCATCTAAAATTAGTATTGATTGACACCACTTTAGTGCTTCATGACTGAAAATAAGGTAATTAAAGAGAGTACCCAATTACATGGAAAACTCTATAGACCTGAATATATGGCAATTCTTGCTTTGCTGAGGTATATATAATATGGTGACAGGGGTGGATCTCATCTTACATTTGAGCATACAGCATGTTTACAGATATATTTGCTATGACATTATCATACTTCCACAATGCATCTCTTTTACATTCAGATCACTGAGAGGCAATATTTTTGGAATATATATCATAAACATATGAATAAAATTCAGATTGGAAGTGTAAGAAAATATAAACAGTATCAAACAGCTAATTTACAAAATTTACTCTCAGTAGACCAAGTGTACAGTGGGAATACTTGACATTTCTTTAGAAAAAAAGGAGAGCAATGCTGTGAGCTCACTTCAGATAAGAATTCCAGTTTTTAATTTAGGCGTGGATGACTTTAATACTAGAAATGTGATACATCCCTTCTTTCCCCCCCAGGTTTATTGAGGTATAATTGCCAAATAAAATTGCATATATTAAAATTATGAAATCTGATGATTTGACATGTACTTATTGTGAAATAAGGCAGTTAATAATTCAATCAAGTCAGTTACCTCTATCACTTCACTTACTTACCTTTTGTAAGTTTTTAAGAACATTTAAGAGCCACTCTCTTAGCAGTTATAAATACATATACAGTATTTTCAACCACTGTCACTATATTGCTACATACCTTTTCTTTTAAGAGGACCAAGAACACTGGGCCTAATGCACTTGACTGGACTCTGACTCCTCCTGCTTTGATGAATAAGCAAACAGAATAAGGTGAAGTTCTTCTAACAGATGCAAGATAAACAGTATTATAGCTCATCAAATAAGCAAGCAAAATTGGCAGTCATGTAGGTAGAAATGGAAAGCGCTTTTGTCACTAGACTGAATAACTGAAATGTCAATACATGATTTGATCCAGAACATGCAATCTGGAATGAAAGCATTTTAAGCCTTTTTTAAAATTTTAATATTTATTTTTCAGTTTTCGGTGGACACAACATCTTTATTTTATTTTTATGTGGTGCTGAGGATCGAACCCAGCGCCCCGCGCATGCCAGGTGAGCATGTTACCGCTTGAGCCACATCCCCAGCCCTTAAGCCATTTTTTAAAATTAATTCCAGAGGACAAAACACCCATAACAGCTTAACAAAAAAGAAACATTATTTAAAAAGTTATTTAGTTTCTGACAAACTTGTTTGTTTGTGTGTGTGTGTGAGAGAGAGAGAGAGAGATACTAAGGACTGAATTCAAGACCTCACACATGCTAGGTCAGGGAGAGGGAAAGGGAAAAGAAGAAGAGAAAAACATGGCCTGGGGAACATCTGTAATCAGAAAGCTGAGTTCAAAGCCAGCCTCGGCAACTTAGGAAACCACTAAGCAACTCAGCGAGACCCTGTCTCTAAATAAAATATAAAAAAGGGCTGGGGATGTTGCTCACTGGTTCAGTGCCCCTGAGTTCAATCCTGGTACCAAAAAAAAAAAAAAAAGAAAGAAAGAAAGAAAAACATGTCCATTTAAAAATAAGCCTCAGTGGCAGAGCAGCAAGGACCATATTCAAAGCATAAGGTGGGGGCTGGGGTTGTGGCTCAGTGGTAGGTAGAGCCCTTGCCTAGCATGTGTGAGGCACTGGGTTCAATTCTCAGCACCACATAAAAATAAATAAAATAATAAAGGTTCACTGACAACTAAAAAAAAATTTTTAAAAAAGCACAGGTGGACCATTATTACATTCCTGCCTCATTAGCTTCTTGAGTAGCTGGGATTATAGGCATGTGCCATTACTGGTCTATAATCTTAATTTTTTTCCCTAAAAAAAAGGATAAATTAAGCTGGGCGCAGTGGTGCATGCCTGTAATCCCAGTGGCTTGGGAGGTTGAGGCAGGAGGATTATGAGTTGAAAGCCAGCCTCAGGAATGACAAGGCACTAAGTAACTCAGTGAAACCCTGTCTCTAAATAAAAAACAAAACAGGGCTGGGGATTGGCTCAGTGGTTAAGTAGCCCTGGGTTCAATCCTCAGTACCCGCTCCCCACCAAAAAATAAATAAATAAATAAATAAAAGCTAGGGAGTGATACTGGCCAAATTACAGTGTTATATTGTGTACATGTGTGAATGTATAACAATAAATCCCATCATTAGGTATAACTATAATGCATCAATAAAAAATACAGAAAAGTTTATAAAGGAAAAAAAATTAAGAAGGGTGAACTCTGTGTGTGTGTGTGTGTCCCCTCTAAATATAAATCAGCACTGAGTATCAAAAATTGGAATCTGGTAAACTGTTAGTGGCAGAGTAATAGTGATGGGTATTCTCTGTGAAATTCTTTCAGTTTTGCTACATGCTACAAAAGTTCCACAATAAAATATTGGGGAGAAAGTTCACTTACCTGGAAAACCGTCTTGGATTAGGAACAGGACTTGGTGGCAACCCACTGCTACTCACAAACATTTGTAGGGATGGTGAAAAGCATTGCTAGAAAAATATATTTAATATTAAAATATTTCTAGTGTTCCAATCTTCAGAAAGTTCTTTTGAAAATGACAGAAATAATGTCCTCAAAATTACTTAGCTCTCTATGTGTGAAATATACATATATATACATTTTTTTGAAATTGCTATCATAGGTTTTCACTGATTTTCCCCTGAAGTTATTAGATACTTTAAAAGTGAGATGATTTGTATACATATGTTTTAGAGAGTAAACACTGTGTAAAAGATAGCTCATATCTTGTCAATGATCCTACCTTTCCAAATCCTCGGGTGGGTGAAGGTGCTGGAGAAACTGGAGTAAAGTCAATCCTCTTAGGAGAATATAATTTCTCCGACTTGTCAAAATCACTATCACTCTGTAAACATAAAGTATTATCTCCTCATAACAATTCAGGACACCACAGCTCTCATTTACTACTATAATACATTTACATTTTAAGAATAGAAATGTAGGGCCTCCAATATTACTCTGCTGGGAGAACAGAGATTAAAAACAAGAATCAATTTATCAATTTAGACGTAGAAAGGACAGAGGCATATGAAAAAATTAACAAAGCCAATGAACAACACATAAAGTTTTTTGTGTGTGTGTGTGGGGGGGAGAGGGTATCAGGGATTGAACCCAAGGGCATTTAACCACCGAGCCACATCGCCATCCCTTTTTATTTTTTATTTTGAGACAGGGTCTTGCTAGGTTGCTTCCAGCCTTGCTAAGTTGCTGAGCTAGCTTTGAACCTGCTATCTTCCTGTCTTAGCCTCCAGGGCATGCACCACCACACCCAGCAAGATTTTTAAAAAATAAAAAACAAGCAAACATGGGAAAACTTTACCAGACTCAAGCTCTCATCCCATGATTGGCTTATCTGCATTGCAGTTTGCACTTCCCTAAAACAAACAAAGCAAAGCCATTAGTGTTTACAAACAAGACATATCAGAGTAGGCCCTGCTCTTTCAAAGCACTAACCTCTCATGTGCAGTTTCTCTATTCATCATATCCAGGCCTTCTTCCTACAAGGACAAATGTAAAAAAAAAAAAAAATAGAATTTTCATCCACACCGTTCTCTATTTCAAATAAAATCAAAAGACTTCTCTACCTCATTTGACAGAATCACAAGGGAGCAGAATTAACGTTCTAAGCCTGTCAACCATGCCACATGTCTATTTTATCTGCAAACTTGGAAAATTTTTAATCTGTCTCCAACTACCCAGAATTGCATCCTGGCCCATTTTTAAGATTTAAGTCTCTTTTTTATTTTTATTTTTTTGGGGGTGCCGGGGATTAAACCCAGAGGTGCTTAACCACTGAGCCACATCCCCAGCCCTTTTTGAGACAAGGTCTCGCCAAGTTGCTGAGGCTGGCTTTGAACTTGCGATCCTCCTGCCTCAGCCTCCCGAGCCGCTGGGATTACAGACGTGTGCCACCGTGCCCGGCTAATATTTAAGTCTTGAAAATCAAAATCAAAATGTAAAATCCAAAAAACTTCAGATCTGAGCTAGTAAGTAAAATTTACCCTTTTGATTTGAAGCAGTCTGCTACTAGGAATACGATTAGGTGAAGATGACAGCAACTGGAAAGAAAAAGTAAACATTTACTATTTTCTGAATCACAAAGCAGCAGTCTGCTGTCATTATTGGTGTACCAACCTCTTTCTAGATAATTTTTCATATTCTTCTTAGAAATTCAGCTCTAATAAATCCTGAACATTAATGCACTAGAGGCAGTACATTCAGTCTTTAGAAAGTACACCAGGTGTCCAACCTCAAAGCACCATCTGTTGCTAGACAGGCACTGACTTTAGCACTTTTCCCAAATGAGTGTAGAGCTGTATAAATGCAGGGGAAAAACACTCTTGACCATGGAAATATCCATTACCCCCCTTATCTAAAATAAGGAACATATGAAAATGGAAAAAAAACAATGTTATTTTTTATTACCAATGTACACACAGAGAAAAACAGGCTAACAAGCACAGTGTAATAGTTTGTCTATGATTAATGTTCTCAAAAAGACTACAGTAAGATTTTGCTTCTATGACCTAAATCAACGCTGGGATTTAATCAATAATGCTACCACCACAAATCTTACCAAAGAAAAAGCATTGTGGAAATGCAAGGTACACCTTTAAAATAACTGTTGATTTCCCTTAGATCCTCCCCCTTTTAATAACACAAAGCTAAAATGATTTGGGGGCCAAATTATGTTCCTTCAAAATAATCACAATCTGGCCACAAAATATCAGATACAATTCATATCAACAGATCTTAGTTTTAATAGCCATAAGGTAAACAACTGTAATTCATTCCCTAAGAAATGCAAGTGAATCTTTAACACTACAAAACCAAATAAAACAATTATCCTGTTTAAGAGGTCCTATGCCATTAAAACTTTTTTGAATAGGAATGTAGTGATTGGTATAAAATGTTTATTTTAGGAAAAAGCTAATTCAAGTAAAATTTTCAAGTATTATCCACTGAAATATGATTTTTACCTCAAATGATATCCCTTCATTACCATACCTTTCTTTTTTCTCTCCTAGGTTTTGAAAAGAGAAAAACTTCACCAGTGAAATCCTTTTTAAAAGTTCTTTTTTTCCTGTTATGAAAGTAATAAGTATTTACTGATGAGCACTTAATAAGGTCATCTGAACAATGCGAAGCTACTAGGCAAGCAGATAAGGCAGAGAGACTCTAACAGGCAAACGTGGAAGAGCACACACATGTCAGTCAGAGAACCAAAGAAAGCTGACAACCAGACTGTGGCCAGTCAGAAATGCAGATGCTACATCTACATTATAACTTGTTAATTTTAGACAGAACTAGAACAGTGGACCAGAAAGAGAACAGCAAAGCTGTGTCCAGAATCAGAAACAAGAGTAATGTATCAGTTGGAAAATGAAAAGCCAGGAGATTTAAGGAGGTACTGGCTAATGATGCAAAGGAAAGCAAAGAGCTAAGGTGGGATAAGGAATGAACCGCTGGACACTGGCAACTTAAGTGGGCATTGGTGACATTTTCAAGGACAGTTTTTTAACAGAGTTGTGGTAGGAGTATTAAGATTACAAATTGAGAATAAATCAGGAGACAAGGAACTGCAGGCAGCTGAATGTCAATTATGCTTTGAAAAGGAGCCCTGGGAAAGAAAGGAGAGACCTACAAAAAAGAAAACACTTTGTTTTCCCCATATTAGATGTGAGTTGGGAGAAGAAAGTGGGAGGAAAAGACTGATGGCACAAGACAGAGGAGATAATAGTGAAGTGACAGGAGAGTCAGAAAATGTAAGAACCATCAGGGAAAAGCATCCTACGTGATGATAAAGGCATTTTAAGGAGAAGAAAGTTGACATTTATACAAGATACGTGACTGTCTTCTCTGTAAAGTAAGAAGGGTCATCAGTTAGAAGAGAAAGTGGTGAGACAGTACACCAGCAGTCTAAAATCAAACAGATTTAGAATATGGCTTTGGAGAATAGCATGGAGCCAGTGGCACCTCAAACCCCACATATCCCCAAGGAAATTCATCCGCTTCCCCCCAAACTTTCAATTCTTTCAATTTCTCTATTCCTCATTACCATTCCCAGGGTCACGAAAAAAAAAATTCAGTCACTTGGGAGTCCTCCTTCCTGCCCTTATACCCAGTCAGTTAAAATCATTAAGACTCTGCTTTTCCCCACCTCTTTCACCGTCCGTTTCTTTCCATGTCATTCGCCAACATTTCACTCTCTGCAGGTTACTATGGGACACACAGAAGTTCATTAAGATTTACACAGCATCGCCCTTTCAAGGTTGATGCAGTGCTTTAAGAGGCTAACACAGAAGGGTAAAGGAAACCTCCATATGACGCAGACAAGAGATTGCAAAACTCCTCTTTGGATCCTATCTGGAGTTACAGCTGGAAAAAAAATGTACAGAGGGCTGGGGATGTGGCTCAAGGAGTAACACGCTCGCCTGGCATGCGCGGAGCACTGGGTTCGATCCTCAGCACCACATAAAACCGAAAAATAAATATTAAAAAATTCTCTCTCTCTCTCTCTCCCCCCCCATCTTTAAAAAAATGTACAGAGTATACTGTGATATAATGCATACAGTGTAATTGATATCATGATAGTTGAGGATGCCTGTGCACAGGAGATATAAGAATTAAAGTGGGTTCTGAAGGACCAGAAAGCTAGAAAGGAGGGGTAGGATACAGTAGCAAAATGATCAAGCAAAAGCAGTGAATCACCAGAATTTCTTCAGAAAATAAGGTATTTGGGGACAGCCAGAGCAAAGGGTATTTGTCAGTGTGAGAGATGAGCCTAGACCGGAATTGTTAAGAATCTGCACATCTTACAAAAGAGGCAAGCGGGGCAGGGATACAGCTCAGTGGGTAGAGTGCTTGCCTCCCATGCACAAGGCCTTGGGTTCAATCCCCAGCACCACAAAAACAAAACAAAAGAGGCAAGTGAAGTGTACAGAGGCAAATTCATTTTCCCCTTCTTTTCTGTGCTACTCTTATCAGGTGCACAGCTGTATAACATGTAAAAATATTTCTCAAGTAGTCAGTAAAAATACTTAAATTTCCTAATATCCTCAGGGAAGGAGGTGAAGCGAATCAAATCTCTAGATAGCTAACATCTCCCCCTTTAAGTATTTTGAGCCATTTCAGCTGAAAATCTCTCAAAAATGTGTTATATTTCCCCCTTTCTCGGAGTACACCAAATGGAATGACACCGAAAGATTTCTACTCTAATCCCAGCTCTGCCACTTACTATTGTGTGATTTGAGTCTTAACTGTTGCTGCTTTTCATTGGCAAAAGCATCTTTTGCTCTGCCTACTTCAGAGGGGTTGTTGTAAGAATTAAATGCCTGAAAGTACCTTGCAAAGTGTAAAATACCATACAAACATAGGTATTACTGGAATTTAAGAAAAGGCTAATGACCCAGGGATCCTTAAGAACGTCACTATACTGCTTTATACAAGTGAAACCCTCAGGGAGTATCAACAGGCTCTTAGTCCTTCTGCCAAGTCACAAACTTTTATTTTTAATAATTTCTGTTTTTCCTTTTCCTCCCTCACTAGCAGCTATTAGTATACCTTTAACACAAATGTAACTCTTCTGATTTGCTGCTTCTCATATGCTACTGGGTTGGAAGCTTATTATAATTGTGCATAAATTTTAAATGATTCAGAGGTCAGAGAGGCTCTCCTATAAATAAACCGATGAACCTTTGTGAACAGACTGGAAATCTAGTTCAGCCATTTAGATGTCTGTGTGCTTACATCTCAGATGTCTTCCAGAGCACTGAAGCTGATGGAAGAGTGAGCTCTATATGTGAAGTGCTACCATATAAAAACCTTATAATTTCTACTGGACCAACCATCTAATAAGGTGATCTCCAACACAGCAGCTCTGGCCATAGAGAACAATCACAATCAGCATCATCTGACAGATAAGTGTCAGAAACAAACACTTTGTGTAAGTAATTTTTACATCCTAGGACAAATAAAGACCACTATTCTCAGCTATAATTAGAAGTTAATCCGGACTTATCTCACAACTATGATGCAAGCAGTGATAAATAACAATAAATAAATTTTTAAAATACAAAAGTCCACAGCAATTGTACCAAAGCTGAATGGCCAGAGCAAAAGTAGTAAACAAGACAGTTAAAATAAATCTCTAAAACCAATTGTGCACAGCACATAATTTCCAGGAAGAACTATATTTGGAAGTATTGTCTCCAATCCAAATCACTTCCGATACTTACTTTGATACTTACCAAACTGTGACGACTCATAATTGTTGTGCTATTCCTCCGAGTTCTAAATGTGTAAGGCTGAAAAACCTGTGAAAGGTCACTGAAAAGTAAAAATAAAACAATTAATGTCTTCTAGAGAAAGATCTTCCAAATATGTTAGCATCAATTCCGTAGTTCACAGTGAAATATTCAATGGTTCCTCCTTTCTTCCAGAGGATCCTCAGTCCTCCTGGCAGAGCTGCCTGACTGGTGTGCTGGGGATTACAGGTTTGCCAAGATACTGATCTCCTCAGTGGTTGGGGGGCAGCTCTGAGCAATGTGGGGCGGAGCTACAGACTGGTTCATTCCAGCTGCTTCTGGTCAGAGCTATACCCCCAAACAGGTCCCCCCTCGGATGGAAGCAGGTCATCTGTATATCCCAGAGAACCATGAATACCACCATTTTCTGCATGTGCCATTGAGCCTTGTTCTACAAGAGAAGCCATATCAGCACATATCCCATGACCACCCAAAGCAAGTGTCCTACCTCAGAATCAATGTTCAAATAAATGTACCTGCACTATTTTTTTGTTCAGGAGGCCTCTTCTGCCTCACATGCTCTCCTTCCTACCACTATCTGTCAGAATCCTTCCTCTCCTTCCATGCCCACCTCAAACACCATGCCCTCATACAGGCAGGGCACAAGCCTCACATCATTCCACAAACCTAATGCAATCATTACCTCCTGTGAACCCAAAGAACACACTAGGAGATGACATACTTCTTGACACCCACATTACTTTATCTCTTTCCGTCTTCTCTTTTTGAAAGAGGGTCGTTTCTCCAGGCTGGTCTTGAACTGCTGGGCTCATACACCACCATGCCCAATGAAACTTTTTTTTTCCTTTTTGCAATGCAGGGGATCAACCCTGGGCCTTGGGCATGTTAGACAAGCATACTACCACTGGGCTACATCCCCAGCCCTGCATGCACACTAAGCAGATGCTCCATCACTGAGCTATGCCTCCCAGCCCCTACTTTACCTTTCATTAAAGTGTTAGCCAGTCAGGGTAGTGCACACCTGTAATCCCTGTGACCAGGCTGAGGCAGGAGGATCCCAAGGCCAGCTCAAGGCCAGCCAGGGCAACATAGTGAGATCTGTCTAAAATAAATTAAAAAGGGCTGGGGATGTAGTCAGTAGTAGAGTGCTTGCCTAATGTGTGAAGCCCCAGGTTCAATCCCTAGCACCACCAAAAAAAATGTGTTCCCCAATGCTGCAAAAGAAAAGTGTCTTGTGTCTTAAACTTCTTGGTGTAGAGGTGCTTTATTTATTTTAATATAATATCTCTGCAGTTCCTAGCAGAGTGCTGTGCCCACAATGAGTTCAAGAAGGATTTTCAGAACTGGAATGAGCTTCAAAAGACCACTGAGATTGCCTATTTCTACTCTCCTAATTTTTAAGTGAAAAAAAACACGCAAAAAGGTTAAATGACTCATTTGTGAGTGTGGCTAGTTAGTAAAAACTGGGACGAGGCCTGGTCTCCTTACCTTTTCTTTTATCACATCACATGCTACCTTCCAAGTACTTAAATCATTATTCAAAAAACAGTGTGTTTTTTCCTACATATGTCTAAAGGCAGGTCAGTAGGATCCCCCTATTATCTAGCAATTGCTTGATCACCAGAATTTAAAAGACAACCAAAAGAGAAAACAGCTTATTCTTTTTTTAAATTTTTTTAGTTGTTGATGGACCTTTATTTCATTAATTTACATGTGGTGCTGAGAATCGAACCCAGTGCTTCACACATGCTAGGCAAGTGCTTTACCACTGAGCCACAACCCCAGCCGGAAAAACAGTTTATTCTTAAAAGTATAAAATAAGACAAAAAGTCACTCCATCATTCCTTCAGTTTCAAAATTATATTTAATAAAAGAAAAAAGTAAACCTCTTTCCCCCCCCTCAAAATACAGATGTTATAATCAGTTCAATAGACAAGGATTACCCCTTTCTTTGCCCTCACTATGCTTGATTAATGTTTTTGGCTAATTGTATTCCCATTCCATTTTTTGGACCAATGCCATTTTTTGAAAGGATCTCATAAATTGGCTCTCTACCTAAGATGAATTGTCTACTTATAAAAGTGAAATGCAATAGGCTCAGGAGGTGAGCCAACCCAACCTTCACTATCACAAGATTCTACTTTAAAAATAGACCCTCTAGTGCCTTATTAAAAAAAAAAAAATCACACAAGACCCTGCCGCTAAAATTAAAGGATCTAAAGGATCGACTCTTTCCATAATTTTCTTAAACCTCTATTCTCACTAATGTAAGTTACTAGAAACCTTTTTTTTAAAATTCACTGAAATGCATTTCAGGCAGTTTTAGAATTGAAAAAGATTTCAACAAATCCAAATCACTTAATATGACATGAATACACCATTTAATTAGAAGTTATTAGATAAATTGTGATTTATTAAAGCAAACCTCTGTTAATGCCAGGGTTCCTAAACCAAGCTTAGAAATAGCAGCTCTTAAGAGACAGGTGTCAAGTTGCAAGCCTAGTTCCAGGGGTTCAGTCTGACTTTCCCTGGTGTAAATTAGCCAGGACAAGCAACCTTTCAGAAGCTTTCTGTGATTTCTTTTAGAGTGGGGCAACCCCCAGGTGGGGGGTGGCTATTTTTCCTCAAAAGGCCCAGAGTTTGAGGTCAAACTTTCACTCCACCTTGGGACTCCAGTCACTGTAAAGCAAACAAGTCCCCAACCCCTCTGTTTGGACAGCCCAAATGAGCTCAAACTTGCATTTTAGGGAAGGAAGATTGTTTGCATGGGGTCAAGAAGCTTCTTAACCCCATATACCATCCTCCCCAGTTCTGCTCACCTGAGCCCATGGATCAGGGGAGCACTGTTGGATCTCCTCAGGGTGCCCCCATGAGATGTACCAGGCACAAAGTCCAGCTCCATTTTCTCCTGAGCCATGTCGGAGACTTGCAGGTAGGCACAGCGGGCAGTGCTCAGCTCCTGGTGCTTAGCTATGGGCTCCCAAGACTCACTGCAGGACTGAGCTGCTGGGGACTGGCAGCTGGGGGCGGGGGCTAAGGGGCGGAGTCTTGGGGGCGGGGGCTAAGGGCGGAGAAAAGTAGGAGAGGAGGAGGGAAGGAGGATGCTGATGAGGAAGGGAGGCTGGTGGAGAGGGAGGGGAGAAGGATGGAGAGATTGTTGGAGGGTAACAGAATCAAGAAAGAGGATGAGGAAAAAAGAGAGATGAAGGAAAGACAAGGATGGAGGGAGGAAGAAAAGGGATGGAAAGAAGCTAGATGGAAATGCAGGACAGGATAAGAGGAGCAGGGCAGAAGGGGAAAGAGGAGGATGGGGGAGGGAAAAATGGGGGAATGGGAAGATGGGGGAAGGAGGGGGAGGGGGAAGAATGGGGAGCGAGGGAAGGATGAGGGAAGGGAGGAAGGGGGTGGGGGAGGGGATGAGGGAAGGGAGAGGATGACAGGGGGAAGGGTAAGGAAGACAGAGGGCAGGGGGAAGAGCACAGGGACGGGAAATAAGGATGAGGTGTGGGAAACAGGAGAGAGGAAGGGACACAGAGGAAGACGAGAAGGAGGGGGAGGAAACTAGGCAGCGGCGGAACTCATGCTGCTATCTTTCCCGCTGAGGACCACCAGCGGGGCTTGGCTACAGGTGCCGCGGTTGCCCGGGCAGCGGTAACACCGAGGACCTGTCAGTTGGGCAGGGCCTGGAAGGGAGACTTCGGTAGCTCCAGCTCCCCATACTCGGGGACTTGGTCCAGCCCCCCATGCTCCGGACACAGCCCTGGAGGCTCCTCAGCCCTGAGATCGAAGCTTCGCCTGTCCCTGCCCCCCTCCCGCCTCGAGGACTGGTTGGGGGCTCGATCCCTCTGCCGCCGCCGCGGGGCCTCCTCTTCCTCTCTTGGGTTCTAATGGCCCGGGGGGAACCCGATGGGGCCAAGACCAAAATCTACAACCTGCAGTCTCTTCTGCCTCCCACGCTTCGGAAGCAGGAGCCTCAGCGGGGCCAGTTCTTCCGCGTCCGGGAACCCAACGGGTCCTGCGCACGCGCCCGACGGCCTCTCCAATGGGCCCGCGGGCACAGAGCATGCGTGACAGCCCCGCCCCTCGACCCTCCTTTAAAAGGGAGGAGCGTTTCCAGGGGGCCCGGCGTCTTGCTCAATGGCATTGGCCAGGGGACCCTGGCGCCCTATTTCGAAAAGAGCCAATAGTTAGAAGATGCTGGAGCGGCAGCTTTCAGGAGTTTGAACCAATATTCAAGGGAAACTGGGAGACACGAGATTTAGTCCCCAATTTATACACTCCGACCTCTGGGATTCCCGCTCATTTCTTAAATCCCTCAATTTTTTTGGTCTTGTCTGAAGGGGATGATTTATATTTTAGATCATCCATTTGTATGTACATAGAAAAAAATTTTTTTCTTCGCAAAGCATACGAAAATCCTAACAATCATAACTCGAGTGTGTGAGTGCTGGAATTTTTCTTTATTAATTATCAAACACCTATGTAGCACTTACTGTGTGCTAGACAGTTCTGTACTGTAACAGCTGTAGAAATATTTTCTCACTTAATCCTCACCACTAGAGTGGCTCTGGGAGTGAGAAGGCCATTGCATTGTGTTAATCATACATACCTAGAAAATACAGGACATAAAATAGTTATGAAATTAGTTTCAAAATTTAGCAAAAGTAATTTTCCCTGACTCTTCATTTCAGTTGTCCCATATTAACCTTGCCTTCCCAGAGTTGCTTAGGACCTTGCTAAATTGCTGAGCTTTCAGTTTGTGATCCTCAGGCCTTGGCCTGAGCAGCTCCTGGGAATACAGGAGTGTGCTACCATGCTGGGCTGTAAATAGGTTTTTTTTTTTTTTTTTGGCGGGGTGGGGGGGTGTACCAGGGATTGAATTTAGGGGCACTTGACCACTGAGCCACATCACCAGCCCTATTTTGTATTTTATTATTTTTAATTTTTTTAAAAAATATGGACACAATAGCTTTATTTATTTTAATGTGGTACTTAGGATCGAACTGAGCTTCACATGTGTGAGGCAAGCGCTCTACCACTGAGGTAAACCCCAGACCCCTATTTTGTATTTTATTTATAGAGACAGGGTCTCACTGAATTGCTTAGTGCCTTGCTATTGCTGAGGCTAGCTTTGAACTCCTGATCCTCCTGCCTCAGCCTCCTGAGCTACTGAGATTACAGGTGTACACCAGCACACCTGGCTTGTAATAGGGTTGTTTTATGTTGGTTTTTTTTTTAAGTTGTATACAGACAAAATGCCTTTGGGTTTTTTGTTTGTTTGTTTGTTTGTTTGTGGTGCTAGGATCGAACCTAGTGCTTCACACTTGCAAAGAAAGTGCTCTACCACTGAGCCACAGCCTCAGCCCTGTAATAGTTTTTTTTAATGTTTTTTTGTAGTTGTAGATGGACAGAATGCCTTTATTTGTTAATTTTTATGTGGTGCTGAGGATTGAACCCAGTGCTTCATGCATGCCAGGCAAGTACTTTGCCACTGAGCTATAGCCCCAGCCCTATTTTGTTTTTTGTATTTTATTTAGAGATGGGGGTCTCACTGAATTCCTTAGCACCTCACCCACTGCTGAGGCTAACCTCAGCCTCAGGAGCCCCTGGGATTAAAGGACTGTACCACCTTGGACAGCTAACAAAGAATCATTTGTTGACCATATACAATCCCTAACTCCTTAAAGTCAGATAATTTAGTTGAATCCCTAACTTTCAGGAGCTTCCTAGTGTAGGGGAAGCTCAAAAACATATGTGATAGCTTAGTGGTAGAGTGCTTGTCTAGCATGTGTGAGGCACTGGGTTAGACCCTCAGCACCACATATAAATAAATAAACTAAAAAATTAATTAATTTTAAAAATTAATTAATTAAAAAACTAATCCACAACTAAAAAAAAAAAAAAAAGAACATATGAGATGAAGGGTGTTAATTTGGCCATCATTTCCGGGTTTGATTCACATCATGATTGCCTGCCAAATTTATTTTGCATTTCAAATAAATCTTTTGGGAGGTTTGAGGTGTTCTTTTGGCTTGATGTTCAACTTGTATTTGACTTTCTCTTGTGGCAACTCCAGGTTGAAAGGAAACTTTAAAGTTGCCATGACAACTCGTAAAATAAAGAGTTGATTATGACATATTTGTGACATCTTTATAGGTAAGAGACCTTGAACAGGTGGCAGCAGACTGGGACATACAAAAAAAGGAGTAGCCTAAGTTTTAAGATATAGATCTAAGCAAACCAGTGGTCTGTGGGCATGGACTATTGCTATGGAACAAAAAGAGCTGATCAAGAAATACAGCCAGGTTGGTTATAATAATGTGTATAGGTGGAAATGGGGAGGAGTACAAATAACTCCTTTCTTTTTTGGCGGGGTACTGGGGATTAAACTCAGGAGCACTCAACCACTAAGCCACATCCCTAGCCCTATTTTGTATTTTATTTAGAGACAGGGTCTCACTGAATTGCTTAGTGCCTCGTCATTGCTGAGGCTGGCTTTGAACTTGCAATCCTCCTGTCTCAGTCTCCAGAGCTGCTAGGATCACAGGCGTGTGCCACTACGCCCAGCACCAAATAACTCCTTTAAATGTTGTGTTTGTCATTATAACATACAGAATTCTTTCTGGTTCTATACTACTTGTTCCTTTTGATATTACAACCTGTGAATATACTATATGGGTCCTGTCTATATATTCACAGATTTTGGGTTCCTGAGGTATAGCTTTTCTATAATAAGAGATTTTCTCCTTTTTGATAATAGCTGGAAACATATTGCCATCTCAAATGTTTAGTCATTTCATATCTTTTCTAGAAACTTTAGTCTGTCACTTGCTTTTTGTCATTTTATTATACCTATCCTCTTTGTGTAATCGTACTTAAATTTTTTTTAAAGAAAATAATTTTAATAAAGAATATAAGTAATATTGCATGTGGATAAAAAGCTTAGATTATATCAACCTCTTATATTTAGAGATAATAATGGAAAGAGCCATCCATTTTTACATTTACAAATTACAGCAAATTCATTTGTGTCTGAAAGGTGGACTTAAATTTTTAAAAATTAAATTTTGTCTCTTCTTTCAAAATATTTTCATTAAATCATATTATTAACAAACTGAATAGTAAAATAAACAGAAGAACAGAGGTAAGAGCCACTTATTCACAAGTTGCTCCATTTTTTCCTGTTATTCAGTTTGGTTTGGACTTTTTTATTTTTATCCCAAAACTGGGGATTGAACCCATCGGTCTTATGCCTAGGAGGCAGGTACTCTACCAACTAAGCTATATCCCCAGCCCCTCTGTTTTCTCTTTAACCATTGCTTTTTGCCTTCACTCTGAATTTACTCAGCTTTAGCCACCATCTTTTGTAAACTCTCCAAGTACCCTGGAAATTTTAACAGTGGCTTTCTTACCTTGGTAGTAGTCTGGACTCTGCTGCTACCTAATGATGTGCCATTCATCTTTTTGGAATTTTATGACCTGTAAAATAGAAATAGTTTATCTAATTTATAAGATGGCTATGAATGGCAGTTTATTTAAACCTGCATTTATTCATAAAGTAATTTAATAAATATTTATGAAGTGCTTATGAGTACAGAAATAGTGTCCAGGGAAATATTCAGGAACACCTCATCTATCTTTTTATTTAAACAGAAAGTCAGAGGAATCTTGACTTTGTCATTTCGTAGCTATTTCAAGTAGCCCTTCTGGGCTTTGGTTTCCTACTTTGAAAAATGGGCATTGTGCTGGGCTCTGTGGCACTTGCCTGGGAGGCTGAGGCAGGAGGATTGTGAGTTCAAATGGAGCTTCAGCAAAAGTGAGGCGCTAAGCAACTCTGGTCAATGGTTGAGTGCCCCTGAGTTCAACCCCCATACCAAAAATAAAATAAAGAAAGGAAAAACGGGCATTGTGATGGTGCCTACCTCACAGAATTATTGTAAGCATTAAGTATGATCATATATTTAACATGATTAGGACAGCATCAGGCACATAAGTGTCCAATGAATGGTAGCTGTTATTGACCTGTCTTATATCAGGGATGGAGAATCCAAATCATCCTCATGTCTGGGATTTAGGTAATCTAATTGTGCATAATATGATCAAACTTTTAAAATTCCATTCCCAGAATGAAAGAAGAATAAATGATTATCATCTTACATGTCATAACTTGTCATGAATGGTTTCAAGGCAATTGCATTATTTTAAGTTTACTACTGATTACCTGTGCAGGGTTGATGATTGAACCAATTAATATAAGTATGTGAAAACATTTGATAAGATGAAAAGTGCTATACCAATATTATGACTAATTAATAAGTCTGATATCATTAAGTTCATTTTACCTTCTCTGCCACTTCTCTATGTGGTTCCTAAAATGTGTGGTTTTATAATATTCGTGTGAAATTAAGATTTCAGTACTCAATATGGCTAATTAACTGGTGTTAAAATTCAAAAGCAGCAATTCTTTAAAATGGAAAGGCTGATTTGAATGTATTCTGAGATATGTTTTAAGAAAATAAGCCTCACTGCTTTAACTTAAATCTTTGTAAGTTAGCTGAAGTCTTTATTTCTTAGATGACTAATTATGAGAAGTCAAAATTTATCCCATAGAAAAATACACACATTACAATTATGGTAAAAATGAAACCACATTGAAAACTTGATTCTACACAATTGCAGAACCAATCTGCACAATAGGTTCAATGAGGTAATCGTTTTATTGAGACCCTACACACTTCGTTGACTTTCGTTTCAAACTTTAGCTTTTTTAAGATTCCAAAGGTGTAGTGTGTCTGCTGTTACAGGATGGAAAACATAAGGAGTTAGGCTAGCCAAAACAGAAAATTGAGCATTAGACAGGGCAGACTGGAAGGCGCTCCCATGCAAAACACTCCTCCCAATTATCTTTCTTAAGTAAAGATTAAAGAAACCGTGGCGGGATTTGCATAGTAACAGAGGAACATCCATTGCAAATCCTCAGCAGCAAGAGCAGTGGGAACTGGCAGTGGGAACTGGCACTGGGAAAAAGGCGGTTCCTGGATTGCAAATGAGCTCCTGTTAAGGGTGACAAAGACACCTGGAGTGACGTTAATTGCGTATAAGCAAGCGTCATCTGGTCAGATGCAGGGCGCATGCGGGAAGGGGCGGGACTAAATCGACTCCGGAAGGCGGCAAATTGTAGTTTTTGTTTTGGCTGGGAAGGCTTAGCTGAGCTTGTGTCGCCTAACAAAGATAAAGGAGAAGGGATCTCAGCGGTGACTGAGATAAATGCCTCATTTTGTATTATAGACTTGGAGGTGGGAGACCTTTTCTGCGTTAGGGGCCGATGATAGGGGTAAGGAAGTTTGGAGCCAGTTCTGTCAAACTTTGTGCCCACTGGTGTTAGTGAAGTTTGGGCTACAAAGGTGAACACTCCTAATCGTCTAAGAGCTTCCTCCTTTATTTTTTTTTCCCTTTTGCCTCTCTCCTTACATATCATAGGTGGCTTGTCCTTATATGAACGGAAACCAGAAAGCATTGAGAACTTCGAACTAAGCAGTGGTTTCATCCTTGACATGGGCATGGCACAGGAGAAAATGGAAGTAGACTTGGAGCTGCCGCCGAATTCCACCACCTCAGATGGCAATGCCCTAAGAATAGCCAACAGCGTCCCTTTGATCAATGGATTTGGGTGAGCAGGGTTGAGATACTGGAAGAGGCAAGCGGGCATTGGGGAGATGTTGGACAAAAGTGACTTCCTATAGCATTCCCTTCCTTGTATTTATGGAAGTTCTGCAGGTATCTCCCTTGTCTCTGGTGTCTGGAGATCCCACCCTCAGCCTGGTGGAGTAGGGGCAGGTGTGGAATACCCTGACCAGAGGGAGAGTACACGCCCCACCCTGAGGCTGACACACATCTAAACCTAAACATCCTCTGCTGACAATCCACCTGGACTAGAAAGCAGCAATCAGGATGGAGCACCACTTTTTTACAATTTCAGCCCATCTCTTACCCACTCCTTTGAAGAAACAACACCCTCCCCAACCCCTCCCTGATTTCACATCTCCTGTCAGGACTATTTTTTCTTATTCTCAACTGCTCTGTCACCTCTGACCTTCACCTCTTACACACTCTAGATGAAAATGGTTGTCAGGCAAATAAACTTGGACCTTTCTACACCTAGTTTTTATTTGAACATAGAGTTTAGGTACTATAGAAGTTCAGTCTCCTAAATTACACATTTTTAGTGGATAATATTCCCCCAAAGGAGAAGGAAAACTGATTCTAGGGAGGGGTGTGTGTGTGGAAAAGTTTTGTTATTTTTATGTACAAAGCACACATATATGTCTGTGGTGTGAAAATTTGGTGGAAGAGGAGTTATTAGGGGAAAAAATATCTAAAGAGGCTCGTTGGAGGCCAGACAATGAAAAAAAGAATTAGAAACACTGCATTCAATGATAGTTAACTATTTCTTGCACATATCTGAAGGTCTGGCATTACTAAAGGTTCTCGTGCATGCTAGGAAAGTGCTCTGCCACGGAACTTCAGCCCCAGCCCTCAAATACGTTTTTAAATGAGATTTTTTGAGTGAGAACATAACTTACTGGTACAGCATTTGCCTAGAATGTGTGAGGCCCTGGCTTCTATACTTAGCACTGGAAAAAAAGAGAGAGAGAGAAAGAGATCTTGGATCACATATCCCAGTATCATTAGATTTTCTAGATTCTGTAAGTCTGAAAAGTACATTCACGATATGTTATTAGCTTTGCTGCTCACCCCCAAGCCCTGGTACTAGAGATTAAACACAAGGGCACTCTAACTCTGAGCTACATCCCCAGCCCTCCCCACTTTTTTTGGTACTAGGAATTGAACCCAAGGGAACTTAACCACTGAGCCACATCCCCAGCCCTATGTTTTGTATTTTATTTAGAGACAGGGTCTCACTGAGTTGCTTAGCACCTCACTGTTGCTGAGGCTGGCTTTGAACTCACAGTCCTCCTACCTCAGCCTCCTGAGCCACTAGGATTACAGGCATGCACCACCTCTCCCAGCACCTTTATTTATTTTTATGTGGTGCTGAGGATTGAACCCAGTACCTCACACATGCTAGGTGGAGAGCACTCTACCACTAAGCCACACCCCCAGCCTCTGTATTTTATTTTGAGATAGGGTCTCTTTAGGTTGCTTACAGCCTTGCTAAATTGCTGAGTCTGGCTTTGAACTTGCGATCCTCCTGCCTCAGACTCAAGCTGAGCCACTGGGATTACAGGCATGTGGTGCCATGCCTGGCTTCTCAACCCTTTTTATTTTTTATTTTAAGAAAGGGTCTCAGGCTGGGATTGTGGCTCAGCAGTAAAGTGCTCGCCTAGCTTGCGCGGGGCCCTGGGTTTGATCCTCAGCATCACATAAAAACGAATGAAATAAAGGTATTGTGTCCAACTACAACTTAAAAAAATTAATATTACAAAAATTATCTTTAAAAAAAAAAGAAAGGGTCTCACTAAGTTATTGAAGCTGGCAAGGAACTTGCAATCCTCCTGCCTCAGCCTCCCAAGTTGCTGAAATTATAGCCATATACCACCACACTCGGCTGCTCCTCACTTTTTATAGTGTCATACTACTTGATAGTTGTAATATACACAACAAAAACTGAAAGACAAGATCAATCCTCCTTGTTGAACACATGAGACTCCTATCTCTTGAAAATGCCATAGTGACAGAGCCAGTACTATGAACCTGTATCTCCTGGCTCCTAAACTAATGAATTCTGTACTACTAATCAATATCTAAGCTGATTAGCTCTAATGAAATGCAGCTCTCTAGTGATTTGAGGCAGGGGAGAACATATTGTCACAAAATAAAGCTAAAATTGACCAAAAAATAATACATTACCAGCCTGGTGTGGTGGTGCATGCCTGTAATCCCAGTGGCTCAGGAGGCTGAGGCAGGGGGATGTAAGTTCAAAGCCAGCCTCAGCAACTTAGCAAGGCCCTAAGCAACTCAGTGAGACCCTGTCTCCAAATAAAATATTAAAAGGGTGGGTGATGTGTCTCAGTGGTTAAGTGCCTCTGGATTTAATCCTTAGTATCCCCCCAATTAATTTTTTTTTTAAAGTAAAGTCAGTGGCTCTGCATGTTGTATGGAGAACAGGAACTTTTTTTTTTTTTTTTTTGGTACCAGGGATTGAACTCGGGGGCACTCAACCACTGAGCTACAACCCCAGCCCTATTTTGTATTTTATTTAGAGACAGGTCTCACTGAGTTGCTTAGTACCTCGCTGTTGCTGAGACTGGCTTTGAACTCATCATCCTCCTGTCTCAGCCTCCCCAGCCGCTAGGATTTTGTGTGCACCACCACACCCAGCGAGAACAGTAACGTTTTTTAAAAAAATTGTTTGTTTTTTTTTTTTTAGTTGTAGGTGGACACTTCCTATTGTATTATCAAAGGAATTGTTAGGGGACCCACCCTGCTAGTAGAATAGAGCAGTGAGGAGAGTATTGTTCCCCCCTACCTTTTTTTGTGATGCTGAGGATGAACCCAGGGCCTTACATATACATGATAGGCAAGTGCTCTACTATCGAGCTACATCCCTAGCCTAAGAATGTTGGTTTTATTGGAAAGCTTTATGAAAAGAAGCAGGTTGCAAATGATAATGAAGGATATATGCTTGAAGGAACATGTGGATCCAGTTTAATGTATTAAACATTCCAGGGAGAGAATGCATTAGACCCTGTTGCCTAATCCACAGAGTCCTGGAATCTAAGAAAGATCTCAGTTATCCCTTCCTACTTTGTTGTGCAAAGGATTGACAATTTTAAAAATCATTAGAGCACAGTTACAGAGTTGAATTCTCCAGCTTAAGATCCTGATGCATGAAGTAAAATTTGTACAGAAAAGTGAGTATAAATTGTGTATTTATCTAGTGGGAGTTAAAGATATGGAAACTGTAAAGTGGATTAGCTCCAGTGACTCAGAAGTTATAGGAATGATGAATGTCATGCCTGATGTCAGGAACTTGCCCAAATGATCTGAAGGCATATTTTGTGCTATTGTTGCAAGATTAGGGTATAGTCAGAAAAATTATTCTGAACAACAATTTAGAGTAAGATTACACTGAGTCTGAGTTGAAATCATTTTCACTTCTTTGCAATTGCAATATGTATACTGCTTATTTTTCTCATTCCATTACTTAGGCCTCTAATACTTGGTTGTCCTACCCTTTCTAAACTATACTTGGCAGTAAAGCATGTGGTCCATATTTTGCTAAATATTGTTATACCTCTTTTTTTTTGTAGACAGTGGACTTATCAATGCACTTTGAGGGCACAGCTTTTTTAAAATGTTTATTTATTTATTTTTTTAGGTGTAGATGGACACAACACAATGCCTTTATTTTTATGTGGTGCTGAGGATAGAACCCGGGTCCCACCCACGCTAGGGGAGCACTCTACCGCTGAGCCACAATCCCAGCCCTGTTATACCTCTTTCAAGTAATTTTCTAACTGTGCTTGATGTTTCCTGTATGTAAAGACTCTCTCTCTTGCAACAGAATTTGCAGAATTAAATTTCTTAAATGTCAGTTATTTAACACAGTGCAGTTCCCACACTGTTTTGTGATGAACATCTTGTATTAATAAAAATACCAGTGTTAAGGGGTTGGGGTTGTAGCTCAGTGGTTGAGCACTTGCCTTGCATGTGTGAGTCACTGGGTTCAATCCTCAGCACCACATAAATAAATAAATAAATAAAATAAAGATATTGAAAAAAAATACCAGTGTCAAAAGTTTTGAACCTCTTGGTTCTGTATAGTTGGCTGACTTATTACTGGTGTCAATAACTATATTTAAAGATGTTGTGTTTTTTTCCTTTTTTTCTCTGACCCTTATTAAAAGAATTAGAGGTCAGGCTAGGTATAGTGGCACACTCATGTAATCCCAGCAGCTCAGGAAGCTGAGGCAGGAGGATCACGAGTTTAGCCTAAGCAACTTAGCCAGGCTCTAAGCATCTCAGTGAGACCCTGTCTCTGAATAAAAATTTTTTAAAAAAAGGGGCTAGGGATGTGGCTCAGTGGTTGATTGCCCCTGGGTTCAATCCCTAGTACAAAAAAAAAAAAAGAATTACAGGTCAGGCTGGGGTGTAGTTTAGTGGTAGAGTGCTTGCCTAGCTTGTATGAGGCCCTGGGTTTATCCTCAGCACTGCAGAAAAAAAGTTTCAAGCCAGAGCCCAGCGTGGTGGCACACACCTGCAATCCCAGTGGTAGGGGAGGATAAGGCAGGAGGATCGGGAGTTCAAAGGCAGCCTCAGTGAAAAGCAAGGCTCTAAGCAACTCAGTGAGACCCTGTTTCTAAATAAAATACAAAGTAGGAATGGAGATGTGGCTCAGTGGTTGAGCGTCACTGAGTTCAATCCCTGGTACACATACACACAAAAAAAAGTTTCTTGGATCCTTGCCAGCACTTTCCTTCTTTAAAAACCTCTAGTTTGATCCTGCTTTTAAATTATTGCTGCCTCAATTGAAAGGCATACTATTGTCCAAGGGACAAATCTAGCCTGCTGTTAGCTTTTTGAAATTGGAACGTAACCATGTTCATCTGTTTATTGTCCACAGCTACTATCCCACTACACTGGCAAAATTGAATAGCTATAACAGAGATTGATATGGCCCAAAAAGCCTAAAATATTTATTTTGTCTGTCCTTTTGAAGAAAAAGTTTGCCCACTATCTGGTTTATTGACCTCTTGCCTGGAATAAAGGTAGTAGCCATGAAAAATGATTGCTGGCCCAGTGTGATGGTGCATGCTTATGTAATCCCAATGACTCGGAAGATTGAGGCAGGAGGACTACAAGTTCGAGACCAGCCTGGGTAACTTAGCAAGACTCTGTCTCAAAGTAAAAAATGAAAAGGGCTGGGTGCTCAGTGATGGAGCACCCCTGGGTTCAATCCCTAGTACTAAGAAAAAAAGAAATCTGATTGCTATGAGAATATAACTGACATAATTGTGTAGACAGCTATTATTTATCATTTGATGTGGGGCATTGAATACCACCCAGTTATATTAGCTTTACTTTTTCCAACCTAGGAAAAAAAAGAAAAGATTTTTACTAAGTAATAATATTTAAAACTGAGCTGTTTAAATGTTGCTGTTTTTACCTGTCTATTCTCATCTGAAAGTGGAACATTCCCAGGGAGAAGAGGAAGGTACCATCGGGTTCCTTAAGTCACCAAAAGCCCCAGCCCAGGATTCAGTACGTCCCCCAACCCTGAATTCTCACCACGTTCTTCCTGGGGTTGATTCCAAGGCAAAACATCCTTTTCATGGTTAGAGAGGATCAGTTGCTTAAATGAATTCATGTCAGTTGTACTTATGGTTTTACAATAAATGACCTTTAGGGGAAAAAAAAAGAAAAGAAATAGATTTTAAGCCAGGCAAGGTGGTGTACACCTGTAATCCCAGCGGCTTGGGAGGCTAAAACAGGAGAATTGTGACTTCAAAGCCAGCCTCAACAATAGTAAGGTACTAAGCAATTTAGTGAGACCCTGACACTAAATAAAATAAAAAAAAAATAGGACTGGGCATGTGGCTCAGTGGTTGAGTACCCCTGAGTTCAATTCCCAGTTTAAAAAAAAAAATGAGAGAGAGAGACAAAGAAATAGATTTAACTCAATTCTGGGGTACCATGTAGGGTTTTATATAAATTCATTTGAAAAGACTCATACTAATTGTAGTTTATGCTACCTCAATTATTTCTTTCAGTTTTATAGTCTTATTAAATAAAATTGGCAGATACAAGTTTGGGGGAGAATACTATTGCCAGCCCTAAGAGTCAGGCTCCCTACACAAAAGATAGTAAAAATAGGTGACCCATTAGTGTTCCTTAAATATTCTTATAATTGACTGCCTATTCATGTTATTGTAGGGAAAATTTATAAAATATTGAGTTCTTCCCTGTAATATGCAAATTTTCATGCTACAAAATGGGATCAAGTCTCAATAAGCTTAGGAAGGTAGAGAAAGTGCTAAAGAAATTCAAGGAAGGGAGTGAAAAATTAAAGCAAGAATTGATGAAGGATAAGGAAAAGGTTCAGGGAGAAGATACATTTGAAATGGGCCTTAATGGATCCATAGAGTACACTCTGGAAAAGAGGTCTTCTGGCTGGGACAGCATTTCGAGTATACAGAACAGGCTTTGGAGGCAGAAAAGCATAGGTCTGGGATATCCAGACAGCTGAGTGGTGAACTTTGCCCTATAGGCCTGGATTCCAAATGCTCTTCTGCTGACCAGTGTTGATCCCAGTGAAGGGACTGGTTTTTTGTTTGTTTTTTTACCAATCCATTTTTTTAAAAAATGTTAAGTGCCATGTAATTAAATATGTTATGTAGCTGCTAATTGTCCTGTTCTTTGCCTCTCTAAGCACTTATTTTACTCTACCATACATTTGGGTCCTTTGAGTATTTTTCTTCCCTATTAAAGCCCTACACTGCATTCTGAGATCATTAATTCCCTACATTTTTATAAATACCAAAACGAGCTTTTATAAGTGAAACATTAGTGTTGGTCCATGATGAGATTTTTTTAAAATTAATTACTATTATTTAATTGTACATATTTATGGGGAACAGTGTGATAATTCAATATATGCATACAATGCATAATAATAAAATCAGGGTGATTAACATTTCAATCTCAAATATTTTGTAATTTTTTTTTTTTTTTTTACTTTTTTGGTGTGTGTGTGTGTGTGTTGTTGGGGATTGAACTCAGGTCTTCACTAATGCTAGGCAAGCATCTACCACTGAGCCACATCCCCAGTCCCCATTTTTTAAAATTTTAGATTAACACATAGTATACATATTTATGATGCCCAGCATGATATTTCAATACATGTATATACTATATACTGATCAAATCAGGCTCATTAATATTTTCATGTTCTTATCATTACATGAAGTTTGCAACCTTCCAACCTTCCAGATCTTTTCTCTCTTCTCTTTTTTTTAAAGAGAGAGAGAGAGAGAGAGAGAGAGAGAGAGAGAGAGAGAATTTTTTAATATTTATTTTTTAGTTTTCGGCGGACACAACATCTTTATTTGTATGTGGTGCTGAGAATCGAACCCGGGCTGCACACACGCTGGGCGAGCGCGCTACCGCTTGAGCCACATCCCCAGCCCCTCTCTTCTCCTTTTTTTAAAAAAAGTATTTTTATCTATTTTTTTTTTATTTTTTAATGTGGTTCTGAGGATCAAACCCAGTGCCTCATACATGCAAGGCAAGCACTCAACCACTGAGCCACAACCCCAGCCCTAAATATTTATTTTTTAGTTGTAGTTGGACACAATACTTTTATTTTATTTAATAAGTGAATTTCACTTCACCATGCCCTCAGGGTACACCTGGGACTCCCCTTGGGGCACACCTGGAATGCAGCCTTTAAGAGCTTTTTTTTTTTTTCAATATTTATGTTTTAGTTGTAGTTGGACACAATACCTTTATTTTATTTATTTATTTTTATGTGGTGCTGAGGATCAAACCCAGGACTTCTCCTGTTCTGGGCAAGTGCTCCGCTGCTGAGCCACAAAGAGCTTCTTTAATAGTTCTTTGTTCTCACTGATGGGTGGAACCACAGTGTCCAGATAAGAGTCTCCAGTGCTCCTTTGCTAGCAAAGCAATAAGGCTTCTTTTTCCTTTTTCTCAAAACTGTGTCCTCGTTATTAAATTGGCATGAATTGGCATCGGGGACAAGGACCCAGCTTTCGGTAACAAAAGCAGCCAAAGAAAAGTATTAAAAATGATTTCTTATTATCATTGGAGAAACCTGGATGAAAGGTACATGGGAACCATTGGCATACTTTTTGCAACTTCTTGTGAGTCTTAAATTATTTCAAAGTAAAAAGTTATAAGCCGGGCACAGTGGCTCACACCTGTAATCCCAGCTGCTGGGGAGGCTGATTCAGGAGGATCAGGAGCTAACCTCAGCCATGGTGAGGCACTAAACAACTCAGTGACACCCTGTCTCTAAATAAAATACAAAATAGGGCCGGGGATGTGGCTCAGTGGTAGAATGCCCCTGGGTTCAATCCCCAGTACAAAAGAAAAAGTTATAGTAAAAAGAAAACATGTAAAGGAAAAGATGACTTCTTCAGGTTATAAGCTCAAATAGAATTGAGGCCACCTGGGTGGGCAGTAGTCCAAGGTGAGGACACCTACTCCATTTTCAGTGGGCAGCAGCTGCTCACTTTCAGTGTGTTGTTGCCATGTGGGATTGGAGCCCAGTGTTGCAAAATCTTGCAAGTTTTCAATAGAAGCCAAAAATCTGGAATCTGGATTTTTTTTAATATGAAATTTCTCAGTTTGCACAATGAATTCAGAAATGTTTTAACACCATGTAGGCCAAACAAACCATATCTGTGGAAGATCTCAGTTCTATCTACACCTGCTATCAGTTATCCCTCTTGTTCATGTAAAATTTGGGTAGCTCCAATCATAAATTTTATTTTGGTACTGGAGATTGAACTCAAATGCACTTAACCACTGAGCCACATCACCAGTCCTTTTATATTTTATTTTGAGACTGGGTCGCCTTAGGTTTCTTAAAGTGTTGCTAAGTTGCTGAGGCTGGCTTCAAACCTGCAATCCTTCTGTCTCAGCCTCCTGAGCTGCTGGGATTACAGGGGTACACCACTGTGCCCAGCTCCAATCATAAATTTAAACGAATTACAGGTTTACACTGAAAATGATGTATTTCCAAGGTCATAATAAATTATACTTTTTCTCTAGCTTTAGAGGTAAAGTGGCATGCATGAGAATTCCTTTTCTTATATGGTAACTTGTTTAAGCTTAATGGACTAAGATGTGTACTTTTATGTGTGTATGTATGTGTGTGTGTGTTAATTTCTACATCTGCACAGTTGTCTCTACCAGGATGCCATTTACAATTAACAGTGTTGCTATTTAAGTATTAGAAATCTTATTTCTTGAAAAAAATTTGCAGACTTGAGGATACAGCTCAGTGGTCGAGTGCTTGCCTAGCATGCATAAGGCCTAAATTCCATTTCCAGCACTGTTTTAAAAAAATTGTAATAAACTTTATATAACAAGTGTTTTCTTTTTCTCCTTAGTGATAATTCACAGGTATTCCAAGCTGACACATTAAGAGTGAAAAGAAACAGCACGACATTTATGAGCCAGCATGCCCTGGTAAGAAAATGCTGATACCAGCCTCCTTGTCCAAGACTTAAGCTATTTGCTTGCTCTCTCTCTCTCTCTCTCTCTCTCTCTCTCTCTCTCTCTCTCTCTGTGTGTGTGTGTGTGTGTGTTGTTGGGGATTGGGCATGCAGTCCAAGCTTACTTGTCTTAACCAGTGGTTCTTAGACTTGAGTGAGCACATGGGGGGCTTGTTAAAACATGGCTGGCTAGGTCTTCCCCCAGAGTTTCTGATTCAGTGAATCTGGGGCAGAGCCTGAGAATTTACATTTCTAACAAGTTCTTCCTTGAGAAACAGAGCTCTAAGCAGGGCTGGGGCTGCTCAGAAGGCTGAGACAGGAGGATCCAGAGTTCAAAGCGAGCCTCAGCAACTTTGTGAGACCCTAAGAAACTCAGTGAGACCCTGTTTCTAAATAAAATACAAAATAGGGCTGGGGATGTGGCTCAGTGGTGGAGTGCCCCTGAGTTCAATCCCCTGTACTCTCCCACCAAAAAAGAGAAATAGAGTTCTAAACAGTAATGAAGGAAAAATAAGTACATTGAAAACAGTTTTTGCTGCAGGTGAAGCAGAATTAACTTTTGAATTTCATATGGATTTAGCATTAAAGTTTGTTTTTATGCATAAGATCATCTAGCTTCCAGTTTTTGAAGGGCATACTTTTTTGAGAGGAAATTTGAGAGGAAAATTTGCAGGCTCTCTTAAAAGTAGTTTTCAGCTTTTAATTTGATTTTTTAAAAAATTTGACTTTTATCACATTTATCTTGAATTGTAAATGAAATTTGCTATTCATAGTGTTATAATGCAATCTTTAAATTGTAACTGTTTTCTGCTAGTTAAACTTATGAAACATACTTATGATCAGTAAACCAAGGTGACTGAATGATTCATTTTATGAAAATTGTATTGAGGTAAAATTCACATGTAAGGGTCCCGCAAAACGTCGGAGAAAGAGACCACCAAGTGACCACTCATGCAATTGGCAGAAGGGGGATTTATTGAACCAGCATGCTGGGGCTCCGTTGCCCACTCAAGAAGGGAAAGCAGCCAGAGCCCCTAGCAGGGGCTGAGCACTGCTTAAGTACACTTTTTGGAGAGGGCGGAGGGCTTTGTATACATCAGAACAAATCATCATGAGGCACGGGAAAATTGAACAACAACTCCTAAACATGATTAGTTCATTCATTGGCGGGAACAGGTCAGGCTGGAGTGATAGGTCATTCCTAAGGAGGGGGTTACATTTAAACTGATTGGTCCAGGCCCTGCAATGCCTATGTGCAACCACACAGAGCCCTTATTAAACAACCAAATAGTCAGGGGAAATATTTACTGGGCGGTTCTAAGCATTGTCTTAACAGCTACAGAAATTTCGGGTTTTGCAGGTAGCATAGAAACCTAACAATACCTCCTTTACATTTTAACTCAGACCTTGCAGCTTAGAAACTTTTACAACACCTGGTCTTTTACCCTTTAACTTTTACGCTTTAACTTCAATTTCTTTTACCCTTACACACATAACTTTTTTTTAAAAAAGAGAGAGAGAGAGAGAGAGAGAATTTTTTAATATTTATTTTTTAGTTTTCCGTGGACACAACATCTTTGTTTGTATGTGGTGCTGAGGACCGAACCCGGGCCACACGCATGCCAGGCGAGTGCGCTACTGCTTGAGCCACATCCCCAGCCCAATTCACATAACTTTTTTAAAAATATTTTTTTAGTTGTAGATGGACACAATACTTTGATTTTACTTACATGTCATGCTGAGGATCAAACCCAGTGCTTTCCACATGCAAGGCGAGTGCTCTACCACTGAGCTCCAGCCCCAGCCCCAGCCCTCACATAACATTTAATTAATTGTTTTAAAGTGTACAATTTGCCAGGTGAGGTGACCTAGGCCTGTAATTCCAGCAACTCTGGAGGGTGATGCAGGAGGATAGCAAGTTTGAGGCCAGCCTCAGTAATTTAACAAGACCCTGTCTGAAAATTAAAAAAAATAATAAGAGCTGGGGATGTAGCTCAGTGCTAGAGTTCTATTGGGTTCAATCCCCAGTACTGTTAAAAAATAAATAAAAAGTACAATTCAGCGCATTCACCATGTTGTTCAACCCTCAGCTCTCTTTAGTCTCAGGAAGTGCCCATCCTTGTTTTGTTCCTAGTCTGGGTGGGAAAGCTTTCAGAGTTAATATTCATTGTAATGTTAACTGTGCATTTTGGTAAATTCCCTTTATCATGTTAAGGAAGTTTCCTTTCACTCTTAGTCCCTGAGGGTTTCCATGTTGTAAGGGCTTTTGAGCCTTGGGGAAATGGGTGGTGCAACCCTATAATCCCATTAATTCTGGGAGGTTGAAGCAGAAAGATCACAAATTCAAGGCCAGCGCCAGCAATTTAAGGAGACTCTATCACAAAATCAAAGAATAAAAAGGGCTGGGGTGTAGCTCAGTGCTACTACACTCTTAGATTCAATCCTTGGTACCAAAAACAGAAAAGGCATTGAATTGTCATGTTTTCTCTAAGCCTTTTGAGATGACCATGTTTTCCCTCTTTGTCCTATTAATATAATGTAGCACTATGATTTTCTTATGTTAAACCTCCCTTGAGTTCCTGGAATGAATCTTTTTGCATCTTTATTTATAAGGGATATTGGTCTGTAGGTTTCTTTTCTGGAGGTATCTTTGCTGGCTTTGGTATCTGGGTAATTGCTGGCTTCAGAATGCATTAGGAAGTGCTTGATTTTTCTTCCCCTGCAGTTTTAAGACTGGAACCCAGGACCTTGCACATGCTAAGTAAGCTATGCACTAACACTGAGATACACCCCAGCCCCAGCCTCTCTAATTTTGGAAGAATTTGAAAAAGATTGGTGTTAGTTCTTCATTTAAATGTTTTATAGTTTATCCATGAAACCATCTAGTCCTGGAAATTCCTTTGTGTGTGTGTGTGTGTGTGTGGTGCTGGGGATTGAACCCAGGGCCTTGCTCATGCAAGGCAAGCACTCTACCAACTGAGCTCTATCCCCAGCCCCTAGTCCTGGAAATTTCTTTATTGAAAGGTTTGTTTGTTTATTTTATTTTATTTAGTTGTAGATGGACACAATACCTTTATTTTATTTATTTATTTTTATGTGGTGCTGAGAATCAAACCCAGTGCCTCACACATACTAGGCAAGCGCTCTACCACTGAGCCACATCCCTAGCCCGGTTGGAAGGTTTTTGACCACAGATTCTATGTCTTATTATAAGTCTGTTGAGATTTTCTATTTCTTCTTGAATCATTTTGGTAATTTGTGTGTTTCTAGGCATTTGTCCATTTTATATAGATTAACTTGTTGTCATACAGTTAATTGTTTATAAATTTCTCTATCACATTAATTTCTTTTTCTTTACATTTTTTTAGTTGTTGATGGACCTTTATTTATTTACTTATTTTATTTATATGTGGTGCTGAGAATCAAACCCAGGGCTTCACACATGCTAGGCAAGTGCTCTACCACTGAGCTACAACCCCAGCCCCCTATCATATGAATTTCTATATGAATCTGTAGAGTGCATTCTACTGAAATGTTATACCTTGAAATAAATTTTAGAGTATACTTCCTGCTGGGTACAATGGTGCAAGCCAGTAATCCCAGTGATTTGGGGTCTGAGGCAGGAGAATTGCAAGTTTGGGGGCAGCCTCAGCAATTTAGCAAGGCCCTTAGCAACTTACTGAGATCCTGCCTCAAAATAAGAAATTCAAAGGATTTGTGGTGTGGCTCAGTGGTAAAGTACCTCTGGGTTCAATTCCTAGTATCCCTCCGAAAAATTACATCTTAAGCTTAAAATTAGATGTTTTCATCTTCATAGAATGATATTGAATATTATTTCCACAACTTTTTTTTTGGTAATGGGAATTGAACCCAGAGGGGCTTAAACACTGAGCCACATCTCTAGCCCTTTTTTGTGTTTTATTTAGAGACAGGTTCTCACTGAGTTGCTGAGGGCCTCACTAATTTGCTGAACTTGGCTTTGAACTCCAGATCCTCCTACCTCAGCCTTCTAAGCCACTGGGGTTACAGGCATACACCACCATGCCCAACCTAGTACCTAAAATTTTTTAAATGCATAATATTTCTTAGGAATTTTAGTTTCTTAATTTGCTTATAATTCAGTTTAATATAATGCATACTTAAAATAAGCCATCTTATAAACACATTGTTTTGCAGAATTAAATTCATTTTTACATATTTGGTGATGGGAACATTCATGGCTTATAGGTTTAACTTGCTGTAACAGTGCTATGCATATACCTTTATTTTGTCAAAATATACCATCATCCCTGTTGTGGCCCAGGCCTGTAATCCTAGTGGCTCCTGAGGCTGAGACAGGAGGATCATGCGTTCAAAGAAACCCTCAGCAAAAGCAAGGCCATAAGCAACTCAGACCATGTCTGTAAATAAAATACAAAATAGATCTGAGGATTAAACCCCCTGCCTCGCATGTGCTAGGCAAGCATTCTACACTGAACCACAATCTCAGCCCCAGGAATTTTATTTCTAATTTATGTATCTCTATGGTATTTAAATATTTTTCAGAAAGCATGAACAATAAATGTATTTTTTCATTTCTAGCTAACGTATCACATTACAAAGTAGAACTATCATTCCTGAAAAAAATAAAAGCATTGTTGAGTGATATCATAAACTATATATGTGTAAGTGTGTGTGTGTGTATTTTTTTGTTGGGGGTTAGCAGGGATTGAACTCAGGGGAACTTGACCACTGAGCCACATCTCTAGCCCTATTTTGTATTTTATTTAGTGACAGGATCTCACTCAGAATTTCAAGCCCTTGCTGGGACTTTGAAACCATGATCCTTCTACCTCGGCTTCCCAAACTGCTGGGATTACAGGTCTGTGCCACTGTGCTTGGCTCATAAACTTTATATATTTAAGTGTCTTTCCCATCCTGGACTATCCTTAAAATTGGTACTATAGACTCTGGGTTGGTGGTGCACACCTATAATCCCAGTGGTTTAGGAGGCTGAGGCAGGAGGATCACAGGTTCAAAGCCAGCCTCAGCAAAAACGAGGCACTTAGCAATTCAGTGAGACCTTGTTTTTTTAAAATTACAAAATAGGGCTGGGGATGTAGTTTAGTGGTTGAGGGCCCCTGAGTGCAATCCCCAGTACCCCGACCCCTGAAAAAAAAATTGGTACTGCAGGTACCTAGAGTGGTCAATTCATAGAGACAGTAAATTGGTGATTGCCAGGGCTGGGAGGAGGGAGGAACAGCAGGTATTGTTTAATGGGTATAGAGTTTCGATATTGAAAGATGAAGAGTTCTGGAGATTGGTTGTACAATAGTGTGTACAACACTACTGAACTGTGTACTTAAAAATGGTTACATTGATAAATTTTGTTATGTACAATTGAAGATAAAAAATTGGTCCTGCTTTTCATGCATTTCAATATAGGTAAAACAATGTTTTAGGAAAAAAATCACTGTAACAAATGGCATTGAAGAACCGTGGGTTTTATTTAGCAAACAAATATAAATACGGATGCATATTTCTTATGCATTGTATAATTGTGAGTTATCTCATAATTATTCTGCTTAATAAAGCACAAATATTTTTTTCACTATTTTCAAGAAATTACTGAATCCCACTTCTAGCTACTAGAAACATGAGGGTCTCTTCTGAATATTGGGACTCTGTCTTCCCTTCAAACCACCACCACCACCCACTTTTTTTTTTTTTTTTTTTGGTTCTGGGGATTCAGCTCAGGAGCACTGAACCACTGAGCCACATCCCCAGCCCTATTTTGTATTTTATTTAGAAACAGGGTCTCACTGAGTTGCTTAGTGCCTCCTTTTTGCTGAGGTTGGCTTAGAACTCGATATCCTCCTATTTCAGCCTCCTGAGCTGTTGCAATTATAGGCCTGTGCCACCCTGCCTTGCCCCCGCCCCTTTTCTTTATCTCTTAACTCTGAGTTTGGCATGCCCATTCCCCACCTCTCTGCCAAGAATCTTCTTAGCACCTCTGTTGAATTTGTGTGCAACTGTGGCATTTCTCCATCCTTATCTGCCCCCTGCTATTCCAAAGGAAGCAGGATAAATGTTTCATCTTCCTATTAGACAAGATTGTGTTTTTCTTTTGGGGGGAGGGTGTTATCAGAGATTGAACTCAGGGGCACTCAACTACTGAGCCACATCCCCAGCACTATTTTGTATATTATTTAGAGACAGGGTCTCACTGAGTTGCTTAGCTGAAGTTGGATTTGAACTTCCGATCCTCCTGTCTCTGCCTCCTGAGTTGCTGGGATTACTGGAGTGCTTTAAATGGTATTTTTCTTGAGCAATTCATCCACTTTAATTTTATAGCTATTGATATTTACCTGATTGGGTTTTACTTTTCACATTGACAGCTACAAACCCTAAATCTAGTTAATGGCTCACCCAGCAGCAAGTGTATAATCCATTCCAGACCTCGCTCTGTCTGTGCTGTGTCTGTTCAGCCTGGACTCAATTCTTGTTAAGTACCATTGGAAACCAACTTAAGTAATTTCTAGAACCAGGTAGACATTTCTAAAGACAGCATACAACTTTTTATTCAGAATTAAGCCTTTTATCTCTAGTAAGGACTAGGAAATGGGTAAAAGCACACCTAGAAAAGTTAAAATTTACTTTTAAAAATTTAGTATCTGTAGAATATTAATTTTCTGTGGTTTCTCTTTTAAATGGAACTAATATTAGTCTTTCTTCCTATCTTAATTACTTCACTTGAGATAAAGCCTAGGAATCAGTTTCAGATTCACATAGCACTCATCCCAATCCCTCCTTACAACCCTACTCTCCCCTGCCCCAAACTATGACATCATCCCTTGGTGATGCCATTCCTAGGTGCATACTCTTGCTTCCTTCCAACGCCTTTTTTCCCCTGGAGTAAAAGAGACACGTGAGAAATTAACACAGAAGATACTGGTGAGTTTTAACAACATCTCAGGATACTTTATTTTAATATTTTGTTTTATGTAGAAAAATTATCTGAGGCATTTTACAGAGTGTGCTAAACTATTCTAAACTAATTACAAGACTTCCTGGAAGAGATTGTTTTTCACTGATACCTAAGGGATGGGGAGGACTCAGTTTGGTTTCAGGAAAAGTTTTAGAATTTCCTATTGGAAAACTTTGTCCAGGAAATCACTAGAAGATTGCCTGGCTGAAATTATGACATCAACTGTGGTACTTAACTCTTCCAATTAATTGTTTTCTCCATTAATTTTCCACATTATTACTACAAAAAAATCAGACAGTCCAGTATTTGATTCACTTTTTGTCCAGTTAAAAAAATTTGGGGGGCTAGGGTTGTAGCTCAGTTGGTAGAGTGCTTCCCTATCATGTGTGAGGCACTGGGTTTGATCCTCAGCACCACATGAAAATAAAATAAAGGTATTGTGTCCATCTACTATAAAAAAAATTTTAGGGGCTGGGGTTGTTGCTCAGTGGTAGAGCATTTGCCTGGCATGTGTGAGGCACTGGGTTCGATTCTCAGCACCACATATAAATAAAAAATAAATAAATAAAGGTAGATTAAGAACTAAAAATAAATAAAGGTAGATTAAGAACTAAAAAATTAAAAATATATATTTAAAAAAAACTTTCTGTGATTCTGTAGCCCAAGTTCAAATCCAGCGCACCCCAGAAAATTCACACTACAGCACCAATGATGTCATAAGCTTTGACATAAGACCTAAAAAGAGAAAGTAGCCTCCCAAAAGAGAAAGGATGTAGATAACAAGTGTCATAGCAATCAAGAGTAAATGTGCTAACTACTTGAAAATGATTGCCTAAAGTCAATTGATATTAATGAAAATTTGGTTTCCCTGCCTAGATTTCAAGGTGTTTGGCGGAGTTGCTTCTTTTATGTTCGTTTTGTAAGTTTGGCAAGTTATCTGCTGATATAAGGACTGTTTTTGCTATTTGTTCCAAGAAAAGCCTTTCACTAAGCTTTAAGGATGGCCTTAAACTGGCAAGAAGAATGAGGTGATTTAAAGCTCTAGTGACTTAGGAAAGGAAAGGTAAAGATAAAATCTTTTCTTTTTGACTTTTTTTTTTTTTTTTTTTTTTGGTACTGTGATATTAAACCCCGGGTGTTTTACCACTGAGTCACATCCCCAGCCCTTTTAAAATTTTTTTTTGGGGGGGACCAGGGATTGAACTAAGGGATACTCGCCCAGTGAGCCATACCCCAGCCCTATTTTGTATTTTATTTAGAGACAGGGTCTCACTGAGTTGCTTAATGCCTCCCCATGACTGAGGCTGACTTTGAAGTCACAATTTTCCTGTTTCAGCTTCCCAAGCCACTGGGATTACAGGCTTCACCACTGGGCCTGGCTTTGGTTTTTATTTTGAGGCAGGATCTCACTAAGTTGCTTAACACCTAACTAGTTCCTGAGGCTGGCCTTGAACTTGGGATCCTCCTGTCTGAGCCTCTGGAGCTGCTGCGATTACACATATACACCACTAAGCCAGGCTCTGTCCTATATTTGTTATGTTAATAGTTATTTTGTTGGGTTTTGAAATATATTAGACTTTGGTTAGCGTAATTATTTTGGTCAAGATCCAATTGAATATTTTAAAATTTGACCTTAACCAGTACCATTGGTATGAAGTGACCTTTATGCTTTACACATTAGACACTCAATAAATATCTTAGATGATTCAACATTGACTTTGTGTTTAGAAATAACTAATCAGAAATGTTAGCACAAGCTTGACTTTTCTATTTTAAATTTCAGTTGTTCCTACCTTCTCCTATTCGTACTTCTGCCAGCCGCTTGCATCAAATAAAACAGGTAAGAAGGCTTTCAAAATTGACAGATGTTCATTAACAAAAGTAAATTTTATTTTATTTTATTTTCTAAAAAGATCTGTGTTTCAGTAATTCTAAGCCAGGTCATGTGCAATTAAGTTTCTAATTTTAGGAATGGTTTTGTAAACAAAACAAACTACTAAGTTCTCTATTTATTTGGGCTATTAGTTATTTTAATAAATTGTTAGTTTCTAGAAATACCACATACCCTTATATTTTGAATCTAGTTTCTTCCAAGGATCTCAAAGAAGAAGATTATATATAAAAATTAAGCTTGTAGCTTCATAATTACCAGTTATGTTTTCTTAAAGCTCTCTGATGAATTTTTTCAAAGACCAGCTAAAGTGGCCTTTATTGTTATTGTTTCACATTCAGTTCTTAGTGAGCTGAGTTTAGGGACACATTGTACCTTACTAGTTTATGTTTTGTGTGTGTTTTGTGTGTATTTATATGTATGTGTATATTTAACAGCACAAGCCAAGTATAGAATTAAACCTTTTAATTATCCAAGGATTATCCACCAAACTCAAAAAGATCAAATCACCACTCCATCACAGGTGGTAGGATTTTTTTTTCTGACCCAGGTACAAGCCGCTTTTTTGCAAGGGGGTGCTTAACTGTTATGAAGCACTTATTCACTTAGCACTATGACCAGTACTTTACATCTGTGATCTGATTTCATCTCACAACTGCCTTACAAGGTCAGAAATGAAAGACAGCAGAACTTATGTACCCAATGTCCATACTTCATGAATGTCAGAGGTAAGATTTAGCCCCCAAATACTGGATTCTTTTTCAGTTCCCCTTTCTCTGTTAGAGTGGCACAAAATCCATAAAGATATTTCGTTAACCTAGTTGTTAGTCCTCTAATTCTTGTATCCTTTTCCTCTTTCCCTCGCCAGTACCATGGCTTTCCCAAGGTCAGGTTACCTTACATTAGCAGGAAAATATGATTAAACCATTTTATTTTTATTTTATTTTATTTTTTGATACCAGAGATTGAACTCAGGGGCACTCAGCCACTGAGCCACATCCACAGCCCTGTTTTGTGTTTTATTTAGAGACAGGGTCTCACTCAGTTATTAAGGCTGGCTTTGAACTTGTAATTCTCCTGTATTCCCCTTCAGAGCTGCTGGGATTACATGTGTACACCACTGTGCTAGACCCATTTTATATATTTTTTGATACCAGGAACTGAATGCAGAAGCACTTAACCAATGAGCCACATCCCAGACCCCCTTTTTCTTTAGATTTTATTTATAGACAGTGTCTCACTAAGTTGCTGAGGGCCTTGCTAAGTTTCTGAGGCTGCCTTTGAATTTGTGATCCTCTTGCTTCACCCTCCTGAGCCGCAGGGATTATAGGAGTGCACCACTGCACCCAGTCCATTCCTTTAATATGTACTTTCCACTACTTACCTTTGTGTGATGCTATTTTAGAATTTTTTAAAGAATAATATAAACTTCACACCAACAGTAAAAGTGACCTTTGACTTATCTGTGCAATTTGGTTTTTTGCTTCTCCTAAATTAAGCCAAAAATTTGAAAATGGGTTATTTTAAGAAAAATCAGTGCTATTTGAACTGGTTAATAACGCAGATTGTAAAGTAGTTTATTTCCATAGTGCCAGAATATGTATTGTAAATATTTAAAGTGAAAAACAAGCAGAAAATTAGTGATGGGAAAATAGATATTACACTAACTTTGAACCTGGGTACTGATTGAATGGAAAATTAAGACTTATTCTCAGTTTAATGGACTGATAAGTGTCTTAAGTTGCTTATTTCTTTATATACATTCTTTAACCATGACTACTACTACTTTGTTGTTGTTGAACTTAAAGTTTTAAGCTTAAAACAGAAATGAGTGGTCCTCTCCCCATTGTATACTAAACTTTCACTTTAACAACATTAATAAGGATATTTATTTCATTTTTCAGTAAAATGGAGGAAATAATAGTAGCCTTGTCAGGATTGTTATGAGGATGAAAGTAATTAATATATGTATAATATAGGGCATATTGCATTAATTTTTATTTTTGGTAGTAGAATAGTGGGGTGCTTAACCACTGAGCCACATTACTAAGTAGAGTAGGGCTTCATTAAGTTGCTGAGGCTGGCTTTGAACTCACAATCCTTCTGCCTCAGCCTGCCAAGTCACTGGGATTACAGGTGTGCACCACTATGCCCTGCTTTGCATGGAAATTTTTGGAGGGAGTACTGAGGATTGAAGTCAGGGGTACCTGTCCACTGAGCCACATCCCCAGCCCTATTTTGTATTTTATTTAGAGACAGGGTCTCACTGAGTTGCTCAGTGCCTCACTTTTGCTGAGGCTGCCTTTGAATTTATGATCCTCCTGCTTTAGCCTCCTAAGGCACTGAGATTACATGCATGTTGCACAGCACCCAGCTTGCATTAAAATTTTTAATGGAAGTTAAAAAATATATAAACCAGAACCTCTATTTACTCAATACCTAACTTTTAACAATTATCCAAATTTGTAACATAATTTTTCATTTATTTCTATTTTGAGGGGAGTGAAGGGATAATACTTTAAAGTAAATCCCAGACATATCTTTTTGCCTAAATTTATGGGCATGAAAAAGACACTTTGGTACTAGATGCAGTGGTACACACCTCTAATCTCAATGGTTCTGGAGGCTAAGGCAGGAGGATCACAAGTTCAAAGCCATTCTCAGCAACTTAGTGAGGCCCTAAGTAACTTAGCAAGACCCTGTCTCTAAATAAAACATGAAAAGGCGTGAGGATGTGTCTCAAGGGTTAAGTGTCTCTGTGTTCAATACCTAGTACCAGAAACAAAAATAAGAAGAAGAAAAGAAAAAGGCACTTTGGCATAATCACATTGATCATTATGTGTAAGAAATTACACTTAGTGTCGTCTAAGTCCATGTTAGATTTTTTCACATTCTTAAAAAATGTCATTTTTATTGATTCACAAACAATCCAAACATGACATTTGGTTGATATATCTCTCAGATCTTCTTTATTTAAAACATCCTTTTCTTCCTGTTTTTGTTCACTGCTGTGTTTTTACTGTAGAAACCAGGTCATTTGTCCTGTAGAATGTCCCACATTCTTCTTTTGCTTCCATGTGGTGTTTACATGTGCTTTTATTCCCTGTATTTCCTGTAAACTGATGAAATTTGCTTTTATTTTTAAATAGGCACATAGTCCCAAGTGAATGTTAGGTTATGGGTTAACATTTAAATAATTATATAGTTTAAATTGCAATCTTTCCTACCGGATAGTTAAAGGACAATTTGTTATTTATGTATGTATGTATTTATTTTTTGGTACTGGGGATTGAACTCAGGGGCACTCACCACTGAGCCACATCCCCAGCCCTATTTTGTATTTTATTTAGAGACAGGGTTTCCCTGAGTTGCTTAGCGCCTTGACATTGCTAAGGCTGGCTTTGAACTCAGTATCTCCCAGTCTACGCAGCCTCTTGAGCAGCTGGGGTTACAGGCATGTGCCACCATGCCCAGCTGGACAATTTCTTGATTGTGATTGTTTGCTGTTTTTCTCATGTTAGAGAGCTTGAAGTTAATTTTCTAAGCACATAGTAGTTCTTCCTTAATGTTTTTGTGATTTTCTTTTCCTAATAACAAGTGATATTTTGTTTCAAGAGATTTGAAAGCATCCTCTATAGTTCTCTATCTCCCAAAATATTAAACATGAGTAAATGCTCTGCAGAAATAATTTGTGTATGAGTTTTCTCAGGCTGCTGTAACAAAGTACTATAAACTGTGTATCTTAAACAATAGGAATGTGTTTTACCTCACTGTTATGGGGGCCAGAAGTTTGAAATCAAGGTGTTCCAGAATTGATTCCTTATGAAGGAGGTGAAGGAGAGATCTGTTCCAGGCCTCTCTCCTTGGCTTGTGGATGGCTGTCTTCACATTCATATGAAGACATACTGTACAACCACTTGGCAACTAAAATCTTTCAGGCATAGTCTCCCTCAGAGAACAAAAGTTGGTTTCTGGTTTTACCTAGCATAGCAAAAAATTGAAAGCTTTTTGGAGTTCTCTTTGTATTATGTGCCAGTCTCTAAATTTCTGGGATTATTTTGGGGGGAAGGTGTTGGCCTTGTGCATGTTAGGCCAGTCTCTACTACTGAGCTATGCCCCCAAATTTCTTCTTTTTATATAAACATCAGTCATTTAGGACTAGGGTCCAACCTGATGACCTCCTCCTAACTTAGTTACCTCTATAAAGGCCCAATCTTCAAATAAGGTCACATTCTGAGGCACTAGGGGTTAGGACTTCAATGTCTGAATTTTGAGGGACACGATTGAGTTTGCTCGCAGTATTTCAGTGTATAACTTTATTTCCTGACTTGTTAAGGAGGATATAAAATCCTTGGTATCCAGGTGGCACAGGACTGTTATCTCAGCTACTTTTTGTTTTTTGGTTCTGGGGATTGAACCCAGAGGTATTTTACCACTGAATTACATCCCTAACCCTCTTTTATCTATCTATCTATCTATCTATAATGGTATTAACCACTGAGCTGTACTCCCAGCAACATTTACTTTTTATTTTGAGACAGGGTTTTGCTAAGTTATTTAGAGCCTCTCCAAGATGCTGAAGATGGCTTCAAACTTGTGATCTTCCTGCCAATTTCAGCTACTTTGAAAGCTGAGAGAAGGCTAGCCTGGGCAACTTAGTAAGACCCTGTCTCAACATAAAAATTTTTAAAAAGGGCTGGGGATATGTTTGTAGCTTAGTTGTAGAGTACTTCCTTGTACTTGGCTCTGAGTTCAATACCCACTACTGAAAGCAAATCAAAACGAAACAGTGGCATCCAGTAAGCACTTGATTTTCTCTATGGTGTCTTAAGTAAAATCAATTGAAAAGCATCTTCCTTGTATTGTTCTATTGTCCTTCCTTATGTTGTTCTATTGTTTGCATGTACAAATATATAATAACAAATCCCACAATTATATATATTTTATAATGCAAAAATAAAAATAAAGATTTTTTTAAATGTTCTAACTTGAATTTCTAGTAATCCTTGTTTTTATATATTCACAAATTTGAACTTTAATAACATATCACATTTTTCTTTTTATCTTACCCGGATTTTACTAATTAAATTGAAGTTAGACATAAATATAAGGGAACTTTATAAGATGAAGCCATTTAAGCCCGACGTGGTGGCACATGCCTGTAATCTCAGTGGCTTGGGAGGCTGAGGAAGGAGGATTGTGAGTTCAAAGCCAGCCTCAGCAAAAGCATGGCGCTAAGCAACTCAGTGAGGCCCTGTCTCTAAATAAAATACAAAATAGGGCTGGGGATGTGGCTCAGTGATTGATTGCCCCAAATTCAATCCCTAGTATCCAGAAAAACAAAGATTAAGCCATTTAAGATGGATTATGCCAACTGGTTGTGATTATGATGGGCACAGTTTAAATAGTATCTTTTTGTGAGTATTTTCTTATCTAATAAAGCATTGAAATTCAATTTCTGTGATATGTTTTTGAGGACTTTCTTTTATCTTCCTTTTTTTTCTTTTTAGAATCTAATAAGTGCCTAGTCTCTTTCATGAACAGAAGTTCTTTAAGGGAAGAGCCTAACTTGTTTTAAAAGAAATTTAATTTGATCTTTGTTTACAAATTGTTTCAGCAAGCATTTATTGAACACTGTGCAGGCATTTGACAACTAAATCTTTCAGGCATAGTCTCCCTCAGGGAGGAAAATTGTTTTCTTTTTTTTACCTTGTGTACTTAAAAAATTGAAAACTATGAGCTGGGGATATAGCTCGGTTGGTAGAGTGCTTGCCTCACATGCACAAGGCCCTGAGTTCAATCCCCAGCAAACACACACAAAAAATTGAAAACTACTCTGTGGGGTGCAGTGGCACACACCTGAAATCCCAGTGACTCAGAGGCTGAGACAGGTAAATGGCAAATTCAAAGTCAACTTTGGCAACTTAGCCAGACCCTATCTCAAAATAAAATATAAAAAAGGGCTAGGGATGTAGCCTAATGGTTAAGTACCCTGGGTTCAATCTCTGGTACCATACCAGAAAAATAAAACAACCTTAAATTCTCAAGTGTGACAGTTACATCAGAGGCAAAGAGTACTGTATACTAGAATTTTATCCTTATTTTTACAGTCTTAATATAAAGTCATCTAAAATTCTCCAATCCATTTTGGAAAAAGTCAAGACATAAAATGTAAAGACATCAACTCCCTTTTACTAATAATACTCAATAGCTGATATTACCTCATGCTCCTGTGGGGTTCTTTTTTTGTTTTTCTTTTTGTACTATGGATTGAACCCAGGGGCGCTTAACCACTGAGCCACATCCCCAGCCCTGTTTTATTTTTTATTTAGTATCAGGATCTCACTGAGTTGCTTAATGCCTTCCTAAGTTGCTGTGGCTGGCTTGAACTTGCTATCCTCCTGCCTCAACCTCTGAGTCTCTGGGATTACAGCTGTGTGCCACCCAGCTCATGCTCCTATTTTGAATGGGAGGAATGTTAAGTAAAATTTAGTCCCAGTTCCAGGAAAACTTGCTTTTTGCTTGTTCATTGATTGAATTTCAAAATACCTTGAGCTTTTCTCACTAGAGGAAAACATCTACATAAATATTAAATGGAAGAATTATACTAACAATTTTGCTTAAAAGATTGACTATTATTCCATTATTCTAAGATACTGGTTTTCTTCTTAAACTAGCTTTCCGAATTTCCATCATTTTCCATGATGGTATCAAAATAGTCACCATGACATAGTTTTAAGAGTTAATTTTCACGTTGTCTTATTTTTCCATCCAATTAGACCTCTAATCCTATTAATTTTTCCTTGACAACATCTTCTCTGTTTTCAGTGCCACTTCCTTCTTTTGTCCCTTGGGTCCAAATTACAAAGGTAATGTCCTAACAGATTTCCTATCTCTTCCAGTTTTATCTGACTTCCACAATCAACATCAATATATATATATAAAATCCAGGATTGAACCCAGGGGTGCTTAACCACTGAGCCACATCCCCAGCCCTCTTTTATATATTAGAGATAGTGTCTCACTGAGTTGCTTAGGGCCTCTCTAATTTGCTGAGGCTGGCTTTGAACTCATGGTCTTCCTGCCTAAGCCTCCTGAGTTGCTAAGATTACAGAGATCAAGATAACTTTTCTTTTTCTTTCTTTCTTTTTTTTTTTTTTTGTGGTGCTGGGGGTTGAACCCAGGGCCTTGTATATGCAAGGCAAGCACTCTACCAACTGAGCCCAGCCCCTCAAGATAACTTTTCTAAAACATTATTTTTTACATATTTTCTCTACTACACAAAAGTAACACTGCTTTCCCATTAACTGTTAATAATAGAATTAGGGCTGGGGATATAACTCAGTTGGTAGAGTGCTTGCCTCACATGCACAAGGCCCTGGGTTCAATCCTCATGCACCACACACACACACAAAAAAAAATAGATTAAGAATAACTGATTTGTATTGAGCACTAACTACGTGATAGGCACTATGTTGAGAACTTACCAAGAACATTAGTATTCTCATTATTATCATCTTTATATAGATGAAGAAACCAAGGCTTAGGTTATATCTATGGTTACACAGGTAGTGAGTTACAGATTCTAGGAATCTGGGATTCTAATCAGTTCTTTTTGGCTCCAAAGTCTTTGGGCCTAACAACTATTCTTTTTTACCCAAACTCTTTATGTTCAAACTCTTCAGTTGTTTAAGATCCCATAAATCTGATTCTGTCTTACCTCTCAGTTTTATCTTTTCATTATTCTAACATACAAACTCTGTTCATCAAGCTAGAGTCAACTATCTGTAAATTGCCATATTCTTTTCTTCCTCTAATCTTTTGTTCATATGGTACCTTCAGTTTGGAATATTCTTCCCTCCACTCTCTGCTTGTCCATATTTGAGCATCTTTAAAGGCCTAGGTCAAATTTTCTTCTTTTCATACAACTCATTGTTGAGAGCCACAGCCGAAGGGGCCCCAGCAAACTTTCAGACTGCCAGCTGATGATTGGCTCACAGCACCCCAGCAACATCTAGCTGATTGGCTCCTCTGCGGTGATGCTCATTGGGCTGTTTCCCCGCCCTTTCAGACTGCCAGCTGATGATTGGCTCACAGCGGCCCCAGCAACATCTAGCTGATTGGCTCCTCTGCGGTGATGCTCATTGGGCTGTTTCCCTGCCCTTTCTGACCACGGAGCTGCTCATTGGGGGAGTTTTTTGGCTCCGCCCATGCGACCCAGCCAATCGGCCTCAAGAGCAGGAGGATTGTGGGAGGTGGAGAGGCTTGTGGTTGAGAGAGAGGCTTGTGGGAAGCCGGTGGTGGCAGTTGGGCTCTGAGGGTTTTTCCTGAGGAGCGGTTTTGTTTGGCGTGTGTGGTTCTAAAAATAAAGTTCCTTTCTTTTGACAAGTGGCTCCTGAATTGTGCCCAGCCAGACTGAGGCAACTCATATTACCACTCTTCTATTATGGACTCCCCAAAACGTATTGTTTATACTGTAAACAACAATCTTTTTTTTTTTTTGACTCTGGGGTTTAACCCAAGGACAGTCTACAACTGAGCTATATCCCCAGCCTGTTTTTTTTCCATTGTTGTTGTTTGTTTGTTTTGACATAGAGTCTCACTAAGTTACTTAGGGCCTCACTGAGGCTAGCCCTTCTGAGGTTGGACTGAACCTTGCAATAGCTTCCCAAGTTGCTGGAATTCCAGGTGTGAGCCATTGTACTGGGGTAAACAACAATCTTGAAACTCTCTGTTTTTTCTTTCTCTTCTCTCTCTCTCTCTCTCTCTCACTCTCAGACAGGCCTCACTAAATTGCTGAGACTAGTTTTGAACTTGGGATCCTCCTGCCTCAGCCTCCTGAGCTGCTGGGATTACAGTCATGCGCCACTGCACCCAGCACAGAATGAAAGTTTTTCATCTAATCCTTCCCTGCATATCTGATGTACTGTAATGCACAAGTAATATATCTTTGTGTGGTAGTTTGTGTAACAATGAAGAATGCAGAACAATTTACTTATATGGAGATTTGTTTATACTGTAGCTCTTCTATAGCCCCATGAGTAATAATATAGATGTATCCAAATGAAATTTTGAAATTTTCAATCCAAATGAAACTGTTTGAAACCACAGGAACTAGACATTCACTTGACCCTCATCTTCCCACCTTCCAGGAAGAAGGCATGGATGTAGTAAACAAAGAAGCAATGCATGAACGGTGAGTACTGTACTTTCAATTACCACTTTAATAATTTGTATATTCAGTTATATCTTTTCCTTCAGATAGGCAAACTACATTACTGATTTCGTTTCTTTTGTAGGGAGGTACACACTGCAATACAGATAAGTCAGTCTTGGGAAGACAGTCTGAACCTGGTATGTTTTACAGTAACACTTTAATTTTGCCCAAACTTTCAAATTGTCTCTATTGTAGTGTTGTGCTATCTAGTTTCACTGTAATTTCTGAAAATATCAGCTCTTGTTTGATATTTAAGCAGTATCTTTTCCATAAATAACTTGAATTATCTTAAGAAACAGCTTATGATCTATCCATAAAATAACTATCATTAGGGCTAGAGCTCAGTGGTAGAGTATTTGCCTTGCATGTGTGAGGCACTGGGTTTGATCCTTAGCACCACATAACAATAAATAAATATAGATATTGTGTCCATCTACAACTATAAGGAATATTTAAAAAATAACTATCATTATTTGAAAGTGGGGTTCAAAGTACATAGTTGTCTGATATAAAACCATAGCTGTTGTAAACCAGCTTCATCTCTGTCCTAGAGAATCTTTAAAAAGTTCAGTTATGCCTGTAATCCCAGCAGCTCAGGAGGCTGAGACAGGAGGATCGCAAGTTCAAAGCCTGCCTCAGCAAAAAGCAAGACACTAAGCAACTCAGTGAGACCCTGTCTCTAAATAAAATACAAAATAGGGCTGGCAATGTGGCTCAGTGATTGAGGGCCCGAGAGTTCAATCCTCAATTTAAAAAAAGTTTAGTTTTACTAAAATGCTTAGATTACAAAACGATAAATGATTTTACTTCCTTCTACATCATTTACTAACTATATATCAGTTTTAAGCTATAGGCAGTGGATTTATGAAAAATTATTGCATTTTTATGTCTGTAAAACAGACATATAGTTCTGTTAACATTTTAACATACAACCTTTAATTTAAACATGCCGCAGTCTGGCTGGACACAATCAGGAGCCACTTGTCAAAAGAATCTATTTTTAGAACCACACACGCCAAACAAAACAGCCTCTCAGGAAAAACCCTCAGAGCCTCAACTGCCACCACCGGCTTTCCACAAGCCTCTCTCTCCCCCCACAAGCTTCTCTCCACCTCCCACAATCCTCCTGCTCTTGAGGCCGATTGGCTGGGTCACATGGGCGGAGCCAAAAAAGTCCCCCAATGAGCAGCTCCGTGGTCTGAAAGGGCAGGGAAACAGCCCAATGAGCATCACCGCAGAGGAGCCAATCAGCTAGATGTTGCTGGGGCCGCTGTGAGCCAATCATCAGCCGGCAGCTGGAAGTTTTCTGGCAGCTGGAAGTTTGCTGGGGCCCCTTCGGCTGTGGCTCTCAACATCTCCCCCTCTCTGTTTAAACAAAAAGCATGTGGCTTAGGGACCGTGCCTGCCTTAGGTTGTCCAATAGTGCATATGGTCCTTACCCGTTAGGTTGGTACCATTGCAATTGGATCTTACCCGTCATTGACTACCGGTCCAGTGTACAGCCACACCTGTGGAGAGGTCTTTGTACCAGCGGGGGGGGGGGTGAGGTTCTTTGCCTCACCTCTGTTGGCCCCCAAATTTTAGCTGGACAATCATGACAAGCAGAAGGGAGGAAGATACACCAAGCCAATTGACGGCTCCTTTTGGAAAAATTGTACCACCGATGACATCATCAGCAAAAATACCCCAACACTACCACAAGTCGCTGCACCAACAAATAGTTCACAATGCATACAGGTGAGTTCACAATGTGTCCAGGCAAATTCTGCAAGCAGTTCAGTGATGACTATTGCAGAAGCTGTAGATTGGTTTTATCTTTGACTTCACCAGCACTGGGATGAAGATAGGAATTCTGGCAATATTGGCTAAAGAAAAAATTATGTTACAGAAGGCACTAAAAGAAAACAATTTTCTTTACATTGTCTTCACCAGCACTGGGATGAAGATAGGAGTTCTGGCAATAATGGCTAAAGAAAAAATTATGTAACATTACAGAAGGCACTAAAAGAAAACAATTTTCTTAACAATTTACATTGTCTTCAAGAGAATTATTAAATATAATGAAAAGGAAAGGTGAAAGTAAACAAACAGATTTGTTAACCTTCTTTTTTGTTTACATATTAAAACAATCCTCAACAGTTGTTTACCCAATTTAAATTAAACCATATAAATCACGTGAAAAAAAAATATTTGGATCCATTTTATCATGAGCGCTCATCATATATGATATATGGACATACATACATTCAAACATATAACACAAAACACAAGTGTGCACACATAATATAATACATACAACACATAACATTATAGTAAAGGCCTTATAACTTTTTACAGGTGAAATCTCCATTGCAATGTTTAAAAACTCTATAGTCAAAAAATAGAACTGATCAGCAAAACATTAACCTAGGTCTGTAAGAGCTCAAAAAACAAAATAGAACTTCATGATATGGCAAAGGGCAATAATAAAATAGATATTGAAAAAAGCATCCTGGTTCTGTTGCAGATGTAAGAATAGCCAAACTGGAGTTTTGGATATCAGTTGTTATGGATTTGAGCCAAATCATCTTCTTTTTGGTCTGTAGAAATCGCTTTAGTTAATCTTTCTGGAATCCAAATCGGCTGCTGTTCTCCCTGTGGAAACACATAAACAGACCCCCGACTCCAGACAATCACTGGGTCAGGACCTTGGTTAATCTCTCTGGAATCCAAATCGGCTGCTGTTCTCCCTGTGGAAACACACAAACAGACCCCCGACTCCAGACAATTACTGGGTCAGGACCTTTCCATTGTCCTGTTAGAATATCCTTCCAAAGTACCTTGGGCTTATGTACAATTTTTGAACACATATGCCTTTCCGCAGCACTAAGTCCTGATGAATCCAAATTTTAAAAGTTTAGAGTAAAAAGGGTTATTTTAAGTTTATCTTTGGGGAATATATACCCCTTCCCAATTCCTTCTTTTTGCTTTAATAAGTACATTTTAATAGTTTGATGAGCTCTTTCAACTATGCCTTGTCCCTGTGGATTGTATGGGATTCCTGTTATATGAGTAATGCCAAATGTTGAGCAAAATTGTTTAAAAGAGGTAGAAGTATAACCAGGGGCATTATCTGTTTTTAACTGTTTTGGAACACCCACAGTGGCAAAATTTTGTAAGCAATGAGCTATAACATCTTTAGTTTTTTCTCCGGCATGAAGGGAGCCCATCAAAAATCCAGAAGAAGTATCAACTGTAACATGCAAATATTTTAATTTTCCAAATTCTGGCAAGTGTGTGACGTCCATCTGCCAAATATGGTTAGGTATCAATCCTCTAGGATTGACTCCAAGATTAACTTGTGGTAAAAAGGTCACACAATTTTGACATTGTTTTATTATTTGTCTAGCTTGTTCCTTAGTTATTTTAAAACGCTTTTGTAAAGTATTAGCATTGACATGGAACTTTTTATGAAAATTTATAGCTTCTTCTAGTGTAGAGAAAATATGTATGTCATGTGTAGTTTTATCTGCTAAATCATTGCCCAAACTAAGGGCTCCAGGCAATCCTGTATGTGCCCTGATATGTCCTATAAAGAATGGATCTTTTCTGTCCCAGATTAGACTTTGTATAGTGGAAAGCAAAGAGAAAACAGTAGAAGAAGGGGAAATCCTACCAGCATCTTCAAGAGATACTATAGCATTAACTACATACTGACTATCAGAAAATAAATTAAATACAGAATCTTTAAACATCACAAAAGCTTGTAAAACTGCATTAAGCTCTACCTTTTGAGCTGATTGTTTGGGTACTAAAAATGTAAAAGTTTGATCAGGGGTAACTACTGCTGCTGTACCATTATTTGACCCATCAGTGAATATATTTGGAGCATTCATGATAGGTGTTTTTCTTGTCATTTTTGGAAAAATTACAGGATGCAATGACCAAAAAGACAATAAAGGATTAGATGGTAAGTGGTTATCAAATGAAACATTAGATTTGCACATGATTATTGCCCAAGTATTTAACTCATTAGCTAACTCATCAATTTGATTCATAGTATATGGAGTAATAATTTTATTGGGAGAAATTCCAAACACTCCCTTTGCTGCTTTTATTCCTTTGAGTATTAACTGTCCTACAGCCTCAGGATACCTAGTAAGAATAGTGTTAGGAGAATAAGATAAATGTATCCATAATAATGGACCTTCTTGCCCAAATACTCCTGTAGGAATATTTTTTGTTGGTAGTACAATAAATAATAAAGGCAAACTTATATCAATTCTATCCAAATGCATATTTTCCATATATGTGTCAATGATTTTTAATGCCTTTCTTGCTTCAGGCGTTAACATTTGGGGTGAATTTGGATCTGATGGACCTTTTAGGATATCAAATAAAGGTCCCAACTCTCCTGTTGGTATACCTAAATAAGGCCTTATCCAATTTATGTCTCCTAATAACTTTTGAAAGTCATTAAGTGATTTGAGTTGATCTACTCGTATTTGAATTTTTGGTGGACGGACCATGGTTGAGGATAATAGAACTCCTAAATAATTAATTGGAAAATTTAATTGTACTTTATCTATTGCTATCTCTAGATTATAATTTTTTAATAAGTTTGTAAGTGTGGCATAACATTCTAGCAATGTGTTTTTATCTTTGTGTGCTAATAATACATCATCCATATAGTGAAATATTTGTAGTTCAGGATTTTGATTTCTAAGTGGCTGGATTACTTTGTTAACATAAATTTGACACATAGTTGGGCTGTTAGCCATCCCTTGAGGGAGTACTTTCCATTCATATCTCTGATCAGGACCTTCATGATTCAGTGCAGGGATAGTAAATGCAAAACGTGGACTATCCTCAGGATGAATTGGAATTGAAAAAAAACAATCTTTAATATCTATAACTAAAACATACCAGGTTTTTGGCAAAGCAGACAACTGAGGAATCCCTGATTGAGCAGGTCCCATAATAACCATCTCATTATTAATGGCTCTTAAATCTTGCAATAATCTCCATTTACCAGATTTCTTTTTGATGACAAAAATGGGAGTATTATGGGGAGATACAGAAGGTTGTATATGTCCTTCCGCTAATTGTTGTTTGACCAGGTCATGGGCTGCTTGTATCTTTTCTTTAGTCAGGGGCCACTGAGGAACCCATACTGGTCTTTCTGATTTCCAAGTAATTTTTATTGTCTCAGTGGCCCTTTCTGAAAATCCAACCCATGTCTTTCTGTTCCTTGATCTATTTGTATTGGTGCTGCTATACCTTGTTCTTGTTTTTCTAATCTTTTTCCTTTCCTAAAACCTTGTCTAGTCATAATAGTGGGTGCATTTTGGTTGATGTTATTTGTTAATGTCAAACCTAATTGATCTAGGACATCTCGTCCCCATAAATTTACGGGAAGATGATCCAATACATATGGCTGTATAGTTCCTTCACATCCTTCAGGATCCTTCCAATCTAATACCATTGCACTTCTATGGGGATTAGTCGCCACTCCTAGGCCTCAAAGCGTTTGAGTGGCTTGTTGTAATGGCCAATGTTTTGGCTATTCTTGACGAGAGATGATGCTAAGGTCTGCACCTGTATCCAGTAGTCCATTAAATTCATGTCCTTGAATATTTAGTTTTAGCACGGGGCGAGAATCTAAATTTAAAGAAAGCATAGCCCAATCTACACCTGTGGAGCCTAATCCCTTGGAACCTCTTTCTACAGTACGACTGGAAAATTTATCATGTAGCCTGGGTATTATTAGTAACTGTGCTATTCTATCTCCTGGTGAAATTACTGATATACCCTTTGAAGAACTGGCTATAATTTTTATTTCACCTTCATAATCGGGATCAATTACCCCAGGACTTATCATAAGTCCTTTTAGAGTAGAAGAGCTGCGTCCCAATAATAAGCCTACTGTTCCTTTGGGAAGAGGTCCTTTCACCCCTGTGGGAATGATTTGAACTCCCATCTCTGGAGTTAGTACTGCTCTGGCGGAGGCGCAGATGTCCAACCCTGCGCTCCCTCTGGTTTGTCTGATGAGGGATCTGATGGACAATGTGTCCTGGGCACTACCCTGATGGGGTTGCTGGGTTCCTCCAGTGCTCCGTATATTTGTGGTTTTGGGCCCCGGAGCATTGGGCCCCCCTGTCCATTTTTTGGCAATGGAGCCTGATGCCTTTCTCCACGATATCGTGGATAAACACCTGGTCCTTGTTCGTTTTTTGATAATGGAGTACCCTCTATGGTGGTTTGAGAACGGCATTCATTAGCCCAATGTCTCCCTCTACGGCATCGTGGGCAAATACCTGGTATTCTACTCCTTTGATACCTAGTTTTGTTAAACCCTCCTCCAATGGGGCAATTCCTTTTAAAATGTCCTGTTTGTTCACAATTGTAGCATGTTCTTGGCCTGGCATCTAAAGCCTGTTTTACTGCAGCTGCCACAATTTGCCCTTGTTCATTAATGTCTCTGGCATCTAAAGCCTGTTTTACTGCAGCTGCCACGACTTGCTATTGTTCATTAATGTCTCTACATAATTTAATATATGTGTTTAAATCTTCATGTTTCCATGGTCTAATGATATCTCTGCACCAACGATTCTCTTGCTCATAAACCAGGTGTTTTAGTAATGGCATTGCTTGTTCTGTATTCCCAAAAACTCTGGTAGCTGTTTGAATAAGCCTATCTACAAATTCAGCATAAGGTTCATTAGCTCCTTGTATTACCTTAGATAATTGACCTTGTAAACCTCCATGTCCTTGTAAAGTCTTCCATGCCTTAATTGCATCTACAGCAATTTGTGCGTATACACCAGGATCATATGCAATTTGTTGCTGCTGATCCTCATAAGGTCCCTTTCCTAACAACATATCTAGATTTCTCTGAGGATAACCAGCTGCTGCATTTCGCCTAGCCGTCTCCTTGCAAAATTCCTCATTGGCAACCTTCCATAACAGGTATTGTCCTCCATTTAGCACAGCTTTACACATATTAGCCCAATCTGCTGGCGTCATGTTCAAGTTGTTAATGGATTCGACCATGCTTACAGTGAAGGGTGCTTGAGGACCATAGGTTGTTACAGCCTCTTTTAGCTGCTTCACTGTTTTGAAATTTAAAACTTGGTAAAATCGCTGCCCTCCTGCCTCAAATACAGGGCATGTTAATATTTGAGATCTTGTCTCAGGATCCCAACTATCAACTGCGGGGGTTGGGGGCCTCCCAGCATATGGAGGTGGCGCTGTTGGTTGGACACTTACGCCCTCTGGTGATAGAAAGGTGTTAGTAGCAGTCTCCTGTAGAGGTGGTGCTGTTGGTTGGACACTTACACCCTCTGGTGATAGAAAGGTGTTAGTAGCAGTCTCCTGTTGTAACTTTCCCCCTGATGGCTTTTTCTGTTTTACACTTTCTTTCTCTGTCTGACTAGCTTGAGAGGCCTTCTCTTTTACTTGAATCTTTTCCTCTGACTAACTTGAGAGACCTTCTCTTTTACTTGAATCATTATGTCTTCTCCTTCCTCTACCATTGTCTGAACTGAAGGCTTTGGACTAAGCAAACAAGATACGAATGTCCACAATGGCAATGTGCCAACTGGCAGAGTCCTTGGGCTTTTCTTTTCTATTCTTTTTAAATCTTCACCATGATGGTTCCATTGTGATATATTTAACAACTCCTCCTTAAAAAGCCATGGGCTACATTTTTGTATTGTATCAACGTATGCCCTGACTGCTCTTGATTTTACTGAGATGCCTCCTTCCTCTAACAATTTACTTAACACTCTTTCATTTGTTTTTTACTAATTTCTGATCCCATATTTCTACTATAATACAACCCAACAAGATGATGCCAAACAAAACCGAGACAGAATGAAATAAAAAGGGAACAACAAAAAGTCATTATAGCCTTTCTATCCTCCTGACATGTGCATCCGTCCTTTCTCCCTATCTGTTCCTCAGACGTAAATAGTTTTTCCTCAGATGTGAGCGGTTTTTCTTCCGTCTCACTCATCTCCAGGGACAGGCAACTTAAAACAAAAGTGAAGCAAAATAAAAGAGGAATCTTAAAATGGCTACCCATCCTCTCGCCCTGCCCTCAGGAGCGAGCAGTTTCACTTACCCTCAGTCGCTCCCCGTGGGAGCCACCAAATGCCGCAGTCTGGCTGGGCACAATCAGGAGCCACTTGTCAAAAGAAACTAACTTTATTTTTAGAACCACACACGCCAAACAAAACAGCCTCTCAGGAAAAACCCTCAGAGCCTCAACTGCCACCACCGGCTTTCCACAAGCCTCTCTCTCCCACACAAGCTTCTCTCCCTCTCCCACAATCCTCCTGCTCTTGAGGCTGATTGGCTGGGTCACGTGGGCAGAGCCAAAAAAGTCCCCCAATGAGCAGCTCCGTGGTCTGAAAGGGCAGGGAAACAGCCCAATGAGCATCACCGCAGAGGAGCCAATCAGCTAGATGTTGCTGGGGCCGAGGAGCTGTGGCCCCAGCAAACTTCCAGCTGCCAGCAATTATGTCTTCTCCTTCCTCTACCATTGTCTGAACTGAAGGCTTTGGACTAAGCAAACAAGATATGAACGTCCACAATGGCAATGTGCCAACTGGCAGAGTCCCTGGGCTTTTCTTTGCTGTTCTTTTTAAATCTTCACCATGATGGTTCCATTGTGATATATTTAACAACTCCTCCTTAAAAAGCCATGGGCTACATTTTTGTATTGTATCAACGTATGCCCTGACTGTTCTTGATTTTACTGAGATGCCTCCTTCCTCTAACAATTTACTTAACACTCTTTCAGTTTGTTTTTTACTAATTTCTGATCCCATATTTCTACTATAATACAACCCAACAAGATGACGCCAAACAAAACCGAGACAGAATGAAATAAAAAGGGAACAACAAAAAGTCATTATAGCCTTTCTATCCTCTTGACATGTGCATCCGTCCTTTCTCCCTATCTGTTCCTCAGACGTAAATAGTTTTTCCTCAGATGTGAGCGGTTTTTCTTCCGTCTCACTCATCTCCAGGGACAGGCAACTTAAAACAAAAGTGAAGCAAAATAAAAGAGGAATCTTAAAATGGCTACCCATCCTCTCGCCCTGCCCTCAGGAGCGAGCAGTTTCACTTACCCTCAGTCGCTCCCCGTGGGAGCCACCAAATGCCGCAGTCTGGCTGGGCACAATCAGGAGCCACTTGTCAAAAGAATCTAACTTTATTTTTAGAACCACACACGCCAAACAAAACAGGCTCTCAGGAAAAACCCTCAGAGCCTCAACTGCCATCACCGGCTTTCCACAAGCCTCTCTCTCCAACACAAGCTTCTCTCCACCTCCCACAATCCTCCTGCTCTTGAGGCCGATTGGCTTGGTCACATGGGCGGAGCCAAAAAAGTCCCCCAATGAGCAGCTCCGTGGTCTGAAAGGGCAGGGAAACAGCCCAATGAGCATCACCGCAGAGGAGCCAATCAGCTAGATGTTGCTGGGGCCGCTGTGAGCCAGTCATCAGCTGGCAGTCTGAAAGTTTGCTGGGGCCCCTTCGGCTGTGGCTCTCAACATAAACATATTCAGAATTTAGTTATATCCCTTGTTCACATTTTTAACGTCTCTATACATCATGATTGCTTAGTTATGGTAGTTGGTTGATATTTAGTGTTTTTTTATGTGGACATTTCAGATAATGAGATAATAAGAATTGAACTGAAACTTGAGCAGGAGAGATTCTGGTTAATTCCAATTTCCAGATTTTAGAGTTGTTAAATCAGGAAATGGGTCATCAACAGAAGACATCTTTTCCTTTGAGCTCTGAGTACCTTAGATGGGCATCTGACCATGATTTTGGAATAGATTCTGAAGAATGAATAGATAGATACCTTTTGGAGGATTGTCCCTGTTCACATTTTGTTTCTAATAACAATTTATAGATGTTATTGGAGTCCTTTAGCTGGCCAAATTCTAATTACTTTAGGTTTTGGCATGAGTAAGTGAATAAGAGATTCTCCAAGTATTATAGGAGGAGAAAGGGAATGTGTAATATATAAGTTTAACTCACATTGTGTTTTAGAAAAGTGCCTATTTTAAAACCCTCAATTATGTAGTACTGATTTTGTACACATAAAATTTGTAAACTTTTTTTTTAATAGATCCTGCTGTCCCATTTGTGTCTTAGTTCTAGCTAAATCCGTTTTGGTCCTTTTCTGGACATAGCATTATAGTTTTTGGTAGCAAAGGATAGGTCAAATCCAAAAAGGAAAGCTGAATTTAGATTTTGTGTATATAGTATATATTTCTTAATATTGAGTACTCATGTTCTAAGTTTTCTGGGGTGCTAAGGAAGCGCCTTAACCACTACAGAGCTCTCTCCTCTAAGAGGCAAAGGGAAGCTTTGCTTATTGAAGTAAACCATAGATTCCCTGCTTGCTTTATCATGATGAGTGCTCTCTACATGAAGTCAGGCTCAGTAGTAAGGGTTCTCTTTCCCATGCAACAGCTATCTCCAGAAGTATTTGATTAATAAGTAATTGGTGCTACAATTATCCACTGCTTTCTGCTTTCACAGAATGACGATGATCTGGACACACCATCCACTGTAAAGAGCATTGATCTAATCCCAGTATCCCAAGCAGCTTCTCTCACTAAATGGATTGGGAAGGTAAGTAAGGAGTGCCTTGAAGTCTATGCTCTTGGAAATACTAGTAGTTACCCAATCAAAAACCTCTGAGGGCTGGGCATTGTGGCACATGCCTGTAATACCAGTGACGCAGGAGGCTGAGGCAGAAGGATTACAATTTCAATGCCAGCCTCAGCAACTTAGTGAGGCCCTAAGCAACTTAGGGAGACCCTGTTTCTAAATAAAACATAAAAAGGGCTAGGGATGTGGGTCAGTAGTTAAGCACCCCTAGGTTTAATCCCTAGTACAAAAAAAATCTCTGAGGGAGTATATTTTGCTATGGTATAAATGATGGTCAGTGACACTTTTCTCTTTCTTGTTTTTTAATATTTTTTTTTTAGTTTCAATAGACCTTTATTTATTTTTATACGGTATTGAGAATCGAACCCAGTGCCTCACATATGTTAGACAAGTGCTCTACCACTGAGCCACAACCCCAACCCTCCTTTTCATTTCTTAAAATATTATTTATATACAATACAATTCACCAACTTTTAAGTATATGGTTAATTTTGGTAATTATCTATAGCTTCATAACCACAACCACAATCAAGGTATAGAAGAGTTCCCACAGTGTAAATAATGTCCTCATGATCTTTTGCACTGTCTTCCTCCCCATCACTCTTCCTGCCCTAGGAAACCACTGACCTTTCTGACAAAAGTGATGGTTTTAAAACCTCTGTTCCAATTTGGTTTTAGCAATGTTTTTCTCCATCATTATAAACTTGTGTGAATTATACCAGTTTGCTTCTAAATCCTATTCCCAGTCCCTCAGTATGAGTTTTGATGTAAGTTTAGTTGTCTGAAAATAACCACATTACTTATAAAATAAGAATTTTAGAAACTTAAAAGAAATTTTAGCTCCAGGTTCTATGACAACCAAAGAAGTGGTTTCTTTTTAGTGAAATGGAAATGTCATTTGTTTGGATTTATACACTGAAAAAAAAAAAACCAAGTGACAAAGAACATGTGAAAATAAAGAAAATATTCAACAATTCATTAATCCTATTTGACCATAATCTTCCTTTGACTGATCTTGTTCATAAGTGTTGGTTAGCTCTAGTACTTTTAAAAAAGTTTTTTATAGTTGTACATGGACAGCATGCCTTTATTTATTTTTTAAATTTTTGTTGTAGATGGACACAATACCTTTATTTTATTTATTTATTTTTTTAAAGAGAAAGAGAGAGACAGACAGACAGAGAGAGAGAGAGAGAGAGAGAGAGAGAGAAAATTTTTTGATATTTATTTTTTAGTTTTCGGTGGACACAACATCTTTATTTTTATTTTTACATGGTGCTGAGGATCGAACCCAGTGCCTCACACGTACTAGGCATGCACTCTGCCACTGAGCTACACAGCCCAGCCCTATCTCTAGTACTTTAAAGAACTTCTTCATCCACAATTCTCAACTTGATTCAAGGCATGTCCCAACCTGGACTTGCTGGTTCTTCTACACTGTAGGTTCTCAAATCCTAAATCTTGGTGAATTAGAAGACAATTTGCTTCTGATGTGTTTCTAGATTTATTCACATTTACATAAAAGCAATAAAATGATGTGTTATCACATAGTATTCAGAGTTCTTTTTAGTGTATTATACTTAGATCTGTTATAATGAAGTAATCATTGATTATTTTCCAGATTTTTTTCTAATGATCATGATGGTTTTATTTTAGAAGTCACAGGCCCACCAACACTGTTAAAATAACTATCCTTGGACCAAAAAAAGAAAAGGTACTTTTATCTTCTCTCAGAAATAAATATAACTTTTGCTCATTTTTTATAAAATAACTAAAACAATAAAAATTGTTTTTAAAGGATTTATTTATTGAAAATGTATTTGAAAAGTTACTATAGCTCTTCTATTTTACCCAGATGGAAATACTTATAAAGACATTGAAAACTATAAAGTACTATATAAATGTGAATTGAGGAATTTAATTCTAGTTTAGTTGACTGTTATGATTTTTTATGAGCCTGGGGCGCCTAACCACTGAGCCACATCCCCAGCTCCTTTTTGTATTTTATTTAGAGACAGGGTCTTGATAAGTTGCTTAGAATCTTTTTTAAAAAATATTTTAGTTGTAGATTGTCACAATACCTTTATTTCATTTATTTTTATGTGGTGCTGAGGATCAAACCCAGGGACTTGCATGTGCTAGGTGAACACTTTACCACTGGGCCACAGCCCCAGCCCCACTTAGAATCTGGCTAAATTGCTGAGGCTGGCTTTAACTTGCGATACTCCTGCTGTAGTCTCCCAAGCCACTAGGATTACAGGCATGCGCTATCACATCTGGCCTGGCTGTTAAGATTTTCATTAAATAAGTATGATTTATGAAGCTGGCTGCCTTAAATATTTTCTAAAATTAGGTAGGGAGTGAATGAATGAAGGAAGGAAGGAAAGAATGAATGAATGAACAAACGAACAGAGTGAGGCAGTCATCAAGTATTTTTCTGAATCTCAACTCATGCCCCACTACTGCACATATACACATTGATATCATATGAATAAGTTAACACAACTTATTTCTACTTGAACAATAACAATATATGTGAAGGAATAGGTTCTTTTTGATTAAATATATGGAAAGCCACCTACCTACTCAATAGTAAAAGAACAGTTGAATGAACAGAAGTATCCATTCTTTTTTTTTTGTAAAATATGTTTTTAGTTGTAGTTGCACACAATATCTTTATTTTTTATTTTTGTTTTTTATGTGGTTCTGAGGATCGAACCCAGTGGTTTGCACATGCTAGGCAAACACTCTGCCACTAAGCTACAACCCCAGCCCCAGAAGTATCTTTTCTTAAACTCCATACAACTAGATCCTGCTTCTCGGTGCTACCTCAATAAATTATGCTTTTGTTCCTTTCTAAATACCATTATTGAATTATATATTTGGAACAAAGTCTAACTACAGTGGGGAGGCGCATATCGGTAAATGGAAAGGAGATAAAGCTTAAAAGTGTGTAATTGTGAAAAACCCATCATGATGAGAAAGAGGATGAAGAAATGATAGGGAAAGAAGTTGAAATATATGTGACTTTTTTGGAGGGAGGGATTATCAAGGATTGAACCCAGGGGCGCTTAACCGCTGAGTCACATCCCCAGCCCTTTTTATAGTTTGAGACAGGGTCTCACTAAGTTGCTTAGGGTCTCTCTAAGTTGCTGAGGCAGGCTTTGAACTCACAATCCTCCTGCTTCAGCCTCCTGAGCCACTAGGATAATAGGCATGTGCCACTATGCCCAGCAAAATATATGATTTGTGTATTTAGGATTAATTAATGGAAATATCACTAACAATGTACTTAACTCAGAATGTACTTTTTATATTTTAAGACTAAGACTAGGTTAATTCTGGAAAATTCTCATTTCCAAACTAAGTACATTGTTTTGTGAAGATGCATCAATAACTAAGGGATCATTTGCTTGTGCTGTGAAGCTTGGGCTGGTGTTGAAAATCATTCAAATATATCAGCAGTTAAGACCTGATAGGAAGTTGGCTTCTTTGAATATTTAAAATGAAGTGTGCTTAGGGATGGGGATATGGCTCGGTGATAGGGCACTTGCCTACAATGAGTGAGGCCCTTGATTCCATCCCTAGCATTGCAGAAAAATTAAGTATGCTTAAATTGAAAATAGTGCTTGGGCTGGGGCTATATAGCTCAGTGGCAGAGCATTTGCCTAGCATGTGTGAGGCACTGGGTTCGATTCTCAGCAAAATAAATAAAGCTATTATGTCCATTTACAACTAAAAAATATTAAAAGAAAACAATGCTTTATCAACTTAAAACAGTTTTTCCTTTTATAAGATATTTATATGTAAAACATTTTTATCACATTGAAAGTGCTTGGAGTTTTCTTAGAATTTATCATTTAAAAATTGTTTAGGGAAATGTGGGGATGTGGCTCAGTGGTACACCCCATGCCTAGCATGCATGAGGCCCTATGTTCTACACCCAGTACTGTAAAAAAAAATATATATATATATGGTTTGGGGAAGGCAGTATAGCACAGTAGTAGAGTGCTTGCCTAGCATGTGCAAGGTCCTGGGTTTAATCCCTAGCACCACCCAAAAAAGTTGTTTTTATTGTTCAATTTTAACATAATGGATTTGGTCTCTACTCAGTATCTTAGTAGATGTGTAACATCTACTATCTACTGTGACATCGGTTGCTCTGGGGGACATCTGCTTTTTTCTTTTAGGTGTACCTAAGGGAACTCCAAAGCAAATTCTGTGTATACCACCTAGTCTATATTTTATGTCAAACCCTCCCAAGCATACCCTACACAGCTCTAGTAAAAATTCATCTGGACCTTCTTGGCCAAATACAATAACAGATAAATCTAATCTTATTTGTATATTTTGAAATATGAATATTCACTAGGAAACAACGACCTATGTCCTATTTAGAGTCCATTAGCCCAAATGAAACAAGGGGAAAGATGGTATAAAAATAGAAATGAGGTCCTGGTGGCAGGCATAGGGGTCAAGTAGGGATGTGTGTGTGGTGATGCTAAAAAGAATGAGGACTCTGCCAGGTGGGCATGGGCACAGGCCTATAACCCCAGCAATTTAGGAGGCTGAGGCAGGCCCCCTAACAACTTAAGTTCACGGCAAGCCTAACAATTTAGCAAGATCCTCAAGCAACTTAGAGAGACCCTGTCTCAAAAAACAAAAAGGACAGGGAAGTGGCTCAGTGGTAAAGCACTTCTGGGTTCAATCCTCAGTTCCTCAGTACCCTCCCTCAAAAGAATGAGGACTCTATAAAGTGAAGGAATGTGAAATAAAGATCAGAGTCTCTAAGCAAATGAAGGCATACTGTATGTGATAAGTAACAGTTACTTCCATTAGGAGTAAGCAAGAACAAATAAGTGTTCAAGTAGGAAATGTAAGAACTTTGTAAAAATTATGCAGAGTAAATGATTTTTAAAGTAATGATGGTTTTAGCAAATAGTTTTTCTTCTTTCTTTTCTTTTCTTTCTTTCCAGGGATTGAACCCAGGGGCACTTAACCGCTAAACCACATCCCTGCCCTTTTTTTAAATTTTGAGACAGGGCCTCACTAAATTGCTAAGGCTAACTTTGAACTTGGGATCCTCCTGCCTCAGCCTCCCTAGCCACTGTGATTACAGGCTTGTGCCACTGTGCCCTGCTTAATTTTCTTTTATGAGGAATTTTTTGTCATGTTTTTAATTTTTTAAAAAAAAAGGACAGATGAGTTTTTCTGTTGTTAGTTTTTTTTTTTTTTTAATTCCCTTGTAAGTGTAATCTGGCCATGGGATAGGATGCCAGACTTCTTCTGAGCTTTATGAACCATTATTATACTCCCAAGGAACTTCTATGGAATCTCTATCTCTAGGATGATGATGATGATGATGATAATGATGATGATTTCAGTACTGGGGATTGAACCCAGAGGACCTTTACCACTGAGCTACATCCCCAGCCCTTTTTATTTTTTAAATTTGAGATAGGCTCTCACTAAGTAGCAAAGACTGGCCTCCAACTTTTGATCCTTCTGCCTGAGTGCCCCCCCCCCCAGTTGATCACAGGTTGTGCCACCACAACTAGTACTATTTTTTTAAAATGATGGTCCTAGTGTTTTGTTTTGTTTGTTTGTTTGTTTTTGGTACCAGGGATTGAACCCAGGGGTGCTTAAGCCCTGAGCCACATCCCTAGCCCATTTTATTTTTTATTTTGAGGCAAAGTCTCTTTGATTTGCTGAGGCTGGCCTCCAACTTGTGAACTTCCTGCTTCAGCCTCCTGAGTCACTGGGATTACCAGTGTGTCCACCATACCTGGTCATAGTGTTAAAAAAATAGTCCACCCTAGAAGACATAGGCTTGAATGTCAGTTTTTCTCTTGGCCAGACATTGTTATCATATGAATATGAAACACTATGCAGATTTTAACATTTACTTCAAGGAAAAGATTATAGCAGTGTTCTTTTTTGATATCATATGGTTCTCCTTAATCTTTGAATATATATATAAATGTGTGTGTGTATGTGTTGTTCATTGTGTGCTATAAAAGAATTTACCAAAAAAATTATCTCTTTACTATTTAGTTCATCACATATGTTTAGCAAATAAAGATAACAACAACCTACAAGTTTAAAATAAGGAATGGAATTAAACTCATTCAACAGCCATACTAGTTATATAAAATCATGTTATAGAATTTATTTAGTAATAAAACAAAATGATAATAATTAAAAAGAAAAAGTAGAGTAAAAACCATTATATATAGTACAAATCCAAGTTTGTTTAAAAAAAACAGTCATGAAGGCTGGGGATGTGGCTCAAGCGGTAGCGCGCTCGCCTGGCATGCATGAGGCCCGGGTTTGATCCTCAGCACCACATACAAACAAAGATGTTGTGTCCGCCGAGAACTAAAAAATAAATATTAAAATTCTCTCTCTCTCTCTCACTCTCACTCAAAAAAGTCATGTACACACACATATTCAGGGTTTGTTGAAGATTGATTATCTCTGGATAAGAATGACTTAAGAATTTTTTTTCTTTATATTTTTATATAAATTATATTTTTTACCAATTATATATTTTTTTTACAAATTAGTTGCAATAAACAAGTATTACCTTTGCAATTAAAAGCATAATAAGCCAGTTAAATAAGAAATATCTATCTTGATCTGCCATTTTGTCTTAGATAAAATACCACTTGATGATCAGCCAAGACACTGCCAACATACATCCTGTGACACTTCCCAGCTGTCAGTAAAGACTGTGTGGTGAGTATCAACATGGGTTTTTTAACATTCACTGGCCATTTTTCACTTAGCTCTTAAGTCTACTTTGGCCATTAGGTATACTTAGAAGTATGGCTCATTCTATAAATTATAAAACTAGTATCCCAAATGTATGCTATCAACCTCAGTTCTTTTTTCTAACGTGTGTGATATTCATATGTAGTGGATTCATTTTTAGAATGGAGGTTTTAGCATTAGATGATAAGGTATTAGAGAAATACATAAAAATGCATGCTTAGAGCTGGCAGTATATTTCAGTTGCATAGCATATGCTTAGCATGCCTGAGGTCCTGGGTTCAATCCCCAGCACTGAAACAGCAATAATAATTATTTTAAAATAAAGTAAAGTATGCTTAGAAAAAAGTCATTTTCTGCCTATCTTGTCAACCTTGGATTTTTGTCTGCTTTGTTGATTGAAAGTATTTTTGAAAAGTATGCCTAAGAAAGCATGTTTTAATAATTACAATGGGAAATAAAGGAATGAATTTTTATTTATTGGAACTATTGATGTAGGAGGTTTTTTTGTTTGTTTGTTTGTTTGTTTGTTTGTTTTTAGGGGGAATACTGTTGGTTTTGTGATACTATTCTTGTGAAACAGCCCTTGGTCTAGTTCCAGTTGTTTATGTCACATATTTGGCATTCCTGTGTAGACAAAGCAGAGTGCACAGAGTGACATCTTGAATTTGGTTATGAATGAGTAGCATTTTCTTCTCTTAGTCTGTCTCTGGATATTCCTGATGAAAGCAACAGCAGTGCTGGATCTTCTTCCTGTAATTAATCAGCTAAAATCAGCATAAACTCCCCTCTGTCACCTTCTGATAGTGGGTCTCCTTTTTTAAAAAAATATTTATTTTTTAGTTATAGGTGGACACAACACCTTTATTTTATTTTATTTGGTACTGAGGATCAAACCCAGTGCTTCACATGTGCTAGGCAAGTGCTCTACCACTGAGCCACAAACCCAGCCCTGGTTTTCCTTTTATTCATGTAGATTTCAACTAAGAACCAAGACCTTCTTATCATTACACACACACACACACACACACACACACGCATGCATGCATGCACCAAACTAAGTCAGAGCAATAACAGAATGGTACAATTTAGACTATGTCCTATTTATCTTTTTTCCCTAAAATAAAATCCTAAAATTCTGTGTATCTATAGAATTTGTATATATATTTCTGTTCATGGCCTTCACAGTTCAATGTAGTGATATTTTCAAAGATATTTCCAACTAAAACTATGTTGAAGATACAGTCATACATCTATAAGCTGCAATGTCTAGAAAATGCTGTACAATGACTTTTGTTAAAAATTGAGAGCTCTGCCGTGTGCAGTGGCACACACCTGTAATCCCAGCAGCTTGGGAGGCTGAGGCAGCAGGATTGTGAGTTCAAAGCCAGCCTCAGCAAAAGTGGGGTGCTAAGCAACTCAGTGAGACCCTGTATCTAATAAAATACAAAATTGGGCTGGGGACATGTCTCAGTGGTGGAGTGCCCCTGAGTTCAATCCCTGGAATGCAAAAAAAAAAAAAAATGAGAGCTCTGTTTATTTTTAGGAATTAAAAGGAAATGACATAAACATCTAAAACTATAAGGTCTAATGAAATGTAATTGTTCAATTAACCAACAAGATAAAACTATTTTTAAAAATTACTAGTTTTTAAAATATTTTCAGTACTTGTTAGTTTCCATCTACTAAGGAAAAGTTACCTATCACAAGCAATTTTTGAAACTAAGCCAGTTGTACCATACTGATGTAAGGATTGACTATTTTGCACATGAATCCTTGGGTGTTTAATTTGTTGGAATTGGTAGGGAAGAACAAGATGAATAAAAGCTAATTGAATGGAAAGAAAATAATATATAATTGGAGCTTCACTCAATTTGTACTCAACCTGATTAGCCTTGATCAATTTTGCATTCTAATTAAATCCAGAAAAAAAGACAATGTTGATAAATTGTAGTCTTTTACATTTTTATGAATTACCTTTCATTCATCAACATGACTACTGATTTGATTAAATACAAGCTTAATATATTAGGGCTTTTCTGAAAGAATCATGTGCTTCCAGTTGTTCCCTACAGGCTATAAATATCTGTTTAAGCCTCAATTTTCTAGTTGGAAGTCTTATGAGTTTTTTAAGTAGGAAAAAAATCATTTGTTAAAAATTTAAATCTGTGCCAAGCACAGTAGTGCCTGTAGCGGCCTGTAATCCCAACAACTTGAGAGACTGAGGCAGGAGGATTGCAGGATATAGACCAGCCTCAACAACTTAGCAAGACCCTGTCTCAAAATAAAATAAAAAGGGGTTGGGCTGAAGGTCAGTGGTAGAGCATCCCTGAGTTAAATTCCCGTATCTATCTCTCTCTCTCTCTCTCTCTCTCTCTCTCTCTCTCTCTCTCTCTCTCACACACACACACACACACACACACACATACACACAAATTAAATCTAAAGTAAGCACTTTAAGTAATTGTGCATTTTAAAAAATAGAAATGTGTCAGGTGCAGTGGCTCATGCCTATAGTCCCAGTGGCTCAGGAGGCTGGGACAGGAGGATCTCGAGTTCAAAGCCAGCCTCAGCAAAAGCAAGGTGCTAAGCAACTCAGTGAGAACCTGTCTCTAAATAAAATACAAAATAGGGCTGGGGATGTGGTTCAGTGGCTAAGTGCCTCTAGGTTCAGTAATCCCCCCCCAAAAAGAAAAAAAAAAAAACAACGTATCCTATCCTGAAGAAATGAAGTTGAGAATTGGTTTAAATTACTTCAGCTAACAAAACAAGAGCAGTTATCTAAAATATTAACAGAAGCCTTTTCCTCATCATTGGAAATAATCACAATGTTGAATTCTGATATAGTTATGCCCAAACATAAAAAAATGGTTGGAGCACTAAGAAGTTTTGGACAATTGCCCCACAGGAATTATTCAGAGTAGAAGCAATCAAATATTTAAAGATGTGGGGGATCATGATGGTCTCCTGAAACTGAGATAGGATTCTATGAATTGACTAATGACAAGCGTATAAATATTGTCATTGTTACTTGGCTTCTTTACTTGCCAGACCTTTAGTGCTCCATTTTTTGGTGCACTAAAGGTCTGGCAAGTAAACACATGAGGGTCCCCTCATGGAATGAGGTATAATTGCAGTGATATTTGTTGCTGAAATTGTAGATGATTGACAGCCAGGAAGGTACACACACATTATTGACATTTGAACCAAAAAGAGTTTTGCAGTATTAAGATTGCAGAGTTTGAGAACAAAGACTAAGGATGGGGAAAGTAAACAATGGGGGTAAGACTACTACTCAGTTGTGTAAGGAACTTTCATCAGTAAATCTTGGTCCTTTTTAAAAATATTTTTTTAGTTGTCGATGGATACTGCACCTGTATTTAATTTATGTGATGCTAAGAATTGAACCCAGTGCCTCACACATGCTAGGCAAGCACTCTACAACTGAGCCACACCCCCAGCCTAACTCTTGGTACTCTTGACTATCTCAATACACTTTGCTCAACTTAGACAATTTCTTACTTTGTTCAATTAGTATTATTTTAATTGTTTATCAGGAAATCACATCTCTTTCTATAACATGCTCAAAACCAAAGATTTTGTAGTTGGTGCTCCATTCTGTTGACTTTGACTTTGTATGTTGGGAGGAGGATTCATTTCTTTTTGCGGGGAGTGGATACTGGGGAGTGAACCCAGGGATATTTTTACCAATTAGCTACATCCCAGCCCTTTTTGAAATTTCTATTTTGAGACAGGGTCTCTCTAAGTTGCTGAGGCTGGCCTCAAACTTGCAATTCTCCTGCCTCAGCCTCCCGAGTTGCTAGGATTATAGGCATGTGCCACCATGCCCATTTGGGTAGATTTATTTCTTAAATGATTTTCCATTTATTGATTTTCAGACCAAAACTATGATAACTTTTAAACATGTTTTAAACCACAATTAGGTGGTTTAAAACAATGAAAATTTATTGTCCTATAATTCTGGAGGCTAGAAATCCAATATAAAGTATTGGCAGGGTTGGTTTCTTCTGGAGGCTCTAAGGAAGAATCTGTTCCATTCCCCTGTATGTATTTTCTGGTGCTTACTAGCAAACCTCGATTTGCAGACAGATATCCAATGTCTGCCATTGTCAACGTGTATGGTTCTATCTGTGTCCCTGTGACTTCACATGGCCTTCTTATAAAGACAACAGTCACTAGATTTAGAGCTGCTCTAATCCAGTATGACTTCCTCTTAATTTAATTACATCTATAAAGTCCCTATTTCCAGATAAGGTCAAATTCACAGGTATTGAGTATTAGGACTTCAACATATCTCTTTAGGGGTACAGTTCAACCCACGGAAGTATAATTTTGCAATTTTGATTTTGCTCATTTCATTTTTCTTAAGTTATTTTAAAAATTGTCTGTCCATTAACTCATCTTTAAGGTGTAAGAATAAAAGATCACTATATTGTATATAGTGTTGGCATGTCTTCTGATGCTAATTTTCATTGTCAGTAAAAGGATAAATGAAAGAGAAAATATGTTTTTCAAATATTTTTATTCATTTTTTAAATTATTTTTTAAATTTGTATATGACAGTGGAATGCATAACCATTCTTATTACATGTATACAGAACAATTTTTCATATCTCTGGTTGTATATAAAGTATGTTGACACCTGTTTGTGTCTTCAAACATGTACTTTGGATAATGATGTCCATCACATTCCACCATCCTTGCTAATCACCCTGCCCTCTTCCTTTCCCCCCCACCCCTCTGCCCTATCTAGAGTTCATCTATTCCTCCCATGCTTCCCCTCCCTACCCCACTATGAGTCAGTCACCTTGTATCAGAGAAAACATTTGGCATTTTTTTTTGGGGGGGGGATTGGCTAACTTCACTTAGCATTCATTATCTTCTCTAACTTCATCCATTTACCTGCAAATGCCATGATTTTATTCTCTTTTATTGCTGAGTAAATT